GAGAGAAGTGAGGGAACTGTGCTGAGAAATCAGACTTGCCCAGTCTAAGCTATGTGATCAGAGCCTACCTCAGGCCTCCAGACCAGCCCCATGCAGAAATTATCCCTTCACTTCCACCCAGAGAAAAATGCCCATGCCTACTATGGTCCCCATTCCGTGGGGGACTAAAGCTGACTACACTGGGGTTCCTGTTCAAGGAGGTGGCCACTCCATTTTGGGGCTCTGCAGGGGGTACAGAAAACAGGTCACTACAATGAGATCCTTGAAAGAGTAAGACCCAAGTAAGGTTGTAAGAGTAAAGCCAAGTGTGCCCAGAGCATTTGGCACCTCAGGGAAACAAGCATTTCAAACCCATTTCTGGCTGGGACTGTTAAAGTACTGGACTGCTTGTCCTGGTGGAAATTGAAAGACATCAGTTTGGGTTGGTGGTTTCCCTCCTGGGGAGGTGATGAACACAGCTCAGTGCAGGCACTGGGCAGCAGCCTGGTCTCACCAAGGCTGTGGTTGCTGCACAACCCATCAGGCAGCTGTTTCGGATCTAACAGACTGCAAGTCCTGGCTTTCACCAAGTCTACTGCTGAAGATCAGAGGGAAAGATGAGAGGCCAAGGTAAAGTGGCCCCTATTCCTCAGTTCCTTGCAAATTATCCTGAAGAATGAGAGAATGGCAGAGAAATATTTAAAGGTTTTTAAAGCTGCACACAGGGACAAAATAATTAATGGCCAGGTCACATTAAAGAGGAACAAACCAAAACCTTATTGCTGACACCTAAATATTTGCCCAGAAGGGTCTCAGTCATTCTGTGTGGCAATAATGAAATGACAACATGATACTTTTCTACAGCAAAGGCTACTGGCTGGAAACTATCAGGGCCTTTAATTTCTGGTAGTGCCGGCTGAGGGGGTTGGTGCTGTTCAAAAGAGAGAGCAGCAGAGATTCTGGCCCTGAAAGGAAGAAACCGCTCTCGATGCCTGTGATGAGACTACAGGAATGGTGGGCAACAAGGTGCTTCGGAAACATCAGCCCTGCAGACAGATCCAAGCTGGCTTCTCAGAGGGAGGAGTTAGCTGGGACCTGGCAGCGATCCATTGGGCACAGGAACAGCTCAGGCCAGACAGGTTCTGACCTGTTCCACTCATCTGAGCCAAGCTATGTGTATGAAGAGGTGCTTTGGAGGAGACAGGTCAGGAATAAGATCAGCTGTTGAACAACGCCAGTGTTCTAGTGCAAAATCTGCATTTTTATTAAAGACATATTTTGGAAGGCCCATTCAAAAATACATTGTGCTCAGTAAAAATTAACCATTTCCATGCTTATAATTAAGGTTACCACAGGATTTTTTTTTTCTCTTTTAGAATATTTACAGCAACAATAGAAATTGTACAGAAGTTAAGAATGGAATACATGCTCAAAAAAAATTTGGTAAGGTGTACCAACAACATGATACAAAGGGTTGTATACAAACACTTTACAAATGGTTTATTAACTTGCATGAAGTCATCCTTAAATATTCAACACATTTTAAAATCAATTGGTATTCCAGGATTAAAAAGGTTAACACCACAATATATCCCTTCCACAACAGAAAGCACAGTAGATTTAAAAGTTTGTGCGCTTTAGATTTCTAGTAGCTGTTAAAAAACATCAGGGAATCTTATACATAAATTTAGAAGTTTTGGAAGCTGCCTCCTCAGCCTGCTAATTTTGGAATAGTCTGTACTGGCAGATTGTGGGGAAAAAAAAAAAAAAAAAAAGATTTCCCTAAACTTAATTCTTCCTTCTTTCTCTCAAATGACACAAATTTAAAATTCAGCATTTCACAGTGGAGATCTAAGCAGTCCTGGAAGTCATTATCACATTTAACCAGATTTTAAAATGCCTGCATAGAATTTCCAACCAAATTATGGTTTCATATGTTTTCATATAGTTTCATTGTTCCATATAAACCAAATATAATGTTACTCCTTTCAATTAGTCAGATCCTTCAGTAGTACGAGTCTAAGATGTGCACTAGTAAAAAAAAAAAAAAAAAAAAAAGGAAGGTCAAGACAGTTACCTATGCTTAAAGTTTTGCCTTGTAACTAAACAGTTAAATGCTGACATCCACCAACAGTTAAAAGCTCTGCTGTTGGATTTACATGTTAAGAGTTTACACCAAGAGGTTCATATCCTATAGGAAAGTTGAATAGTGGCTTCCATCTTGTACTATGAATATGCTGTAATGTTGCTAATGGAAAGCTCTACAACATGAAAAGCTACTTCACAACACATTTCTATGCCTGTACAATTAAGATGCCACCTTGCATTTCTCAGAAGGGATCCAGAGAAGCTGCCCTGTGAAAACAGAGACCTGGTGGAAGGAAAAGCCTGGCAGGCAGCGTGTTCTGGTGGGGGCACAATGAGGTAAGGTATCTCACCCAGATGAAATGGAAAATTAAAATGAAGAAAATCCTGAGCAAGTCTAAGGATAGCTGTTTAAGTAAAACAGCAAACAGGGTGGAGTAGTAGATAAGGCCTCTAACTCCCTGAAAATCTGCACTAGAGAAACAACAAAGAACAAGGCAACTGCAATATTTGAGAACCACAAAGGGAAGGGCAAGGGAAGACTGCAGAGCAGTGCAAAGGATGGCACTGGGATTCTAGAGGGAGAGCTCAGATGGCTTGGAGGTTTCAGAAGTATTTTAGATGAAGGCCCATCAATATTTTATTACTTGATTGCTAACAGTACCTAGAGGAAGAATCTTTTTAGATGTCTCTTCAAAAGCTGGAGTCAATAAAAAGCTCAGAACAAACAAAACCCAGCCTTGACCACATTCTGCAAGAGAGAGGAGGTAGACTGCCTTGCAGAGAAGACAAGAGATGTGTAGTCACTCTTAGGCTAAGAGACAAATTCCTTGTTCAGACTCTTGGGCCGTGTGTTAAGAGTCACTTTTGCCCAGCTGCATATTTCGAGTTATGTTCTAAAAGAGCCTGAGAAGCAATCTGATTTGGTGGAATGAAAGCATCCAAACGTTGTGGGGCTGGTCCTCTCACACCTCTCATGCACCTTCCACTTAGTGTGTGTCACAAGACAGTGTTTTTGCATCAAACAATTGGCTGCACACAAGGTCACAAATTTGCATCCAAGTAGAACTCAGAGCAAGTAAAACTGAGACCTAATACATTAGTTACTTATGCTGTCTCACACAGGAGCTGTTAAGAGTCTGCCAACAGAACAGATGACCTAACACAGTTTTTCTTTTAAAATTGAAAGAGCATCTCCTATAAAATTTGTTTTGCTTAATTTCCATGAAATTTCCTTCATGATTGCAAAATGAGAAATCTTCTGTTTCAGTACAACATCTGAACCAAGTGATGTGCACAAGCCTTCACTTGCCTGATGAGCCTGAGCATTGATGCTGCTGTTTGATCTGTTTGAAAAAGGTGCCAACATCTAGAACTTCCAAGCTGTGTTAAATTAAAAGGGTTTACTCAAATCACACCCCTTTTAACAAAGGCCAGAAGTTAAATGGCTTTTCTCCTCATTCACTACAAATCCAGTTAATGAATGGTTAATATCATGACACCATTGGAAAGAACCGTGTAGGGAAAGGCACCTGTTCTTAAATAGTGTCCTGATTTGAAGGTCATTTAAAAATAGTTACACAGGGCACATCACCATTCCGACCATCTTCTGTGGCACTCCTATTTCAAATGGTGGGCCTACTTACATGAACAACAGCCTAGATGCATGGTTTGTGACAGTACCCCATTGCCAAATGTATTATGTATGCTAGCTGGAATGGAAAAAATATTCTCTGCCACCCCACAATTTGCAGTATATTATATATGGCTATCCTTTTCCTACTCTTTGTGTGACTGGGATGCAAATGTTCTCCCAGTTCTACTCTGACAGCGTTCAAAACGTACAGAATTGATTGCATGGAGGTATTTTTGAAGCATGTCTCACCATCAGATCATTATAAGACAACAAAAAAATGAAACATGAGTGAAAACCCCAATACTTCCAGAGCACGGCTCCTCTCGAAAGAGGCTGGGTTTTGCCTTAGCTACCTAAATCACAACAGTGCTTTCAGAGCTGTATCATCTGTGTTCCCATTCTTAAAGGGAGGTCTACAGCACTGAATTATTGAGAACACAGGAGTCTACTCAGCTAACAGCTAGAGCAGCTTCTGAAGAAAAAAAAGGTTGGTATGTAGCTTTTTAGACAAGTAAGATTCATCTGTTAAGAGACCAAACTGCAAAGATAAGGAATGACTAAAAGCCTACCACAGGCCACTGCTTCTTGAAGAGTCACTCCAGCCTTGCTCCCAGAAACAAGTTGGTGTGGCAGAGAGAAAGGTAACATCCCAAAAGACAACCTGAGGGTGTCTCACACATCTGGAGGTTTGAAGCCTGTTTTAATGTTGATCTAAAAGAACAAGTATTGGCAAACAGAGTAGTGTTTGGGGAATATTTTAGGAAGAAGAGACCAAATCTGGGATCACTGACTTCCTGCCAAGAACTCTGCCCAGTGCTCTGTCCTGGTGACCTCTCAGAGGAGCAATGAAGCTTGGACAGCAATAAATGGAGCAAAAAGCATTAAAGAGCTCTGAGGGACTGTTCTCTGTGGTCAGGTATGTTGAAAATAGATGTTGTTCTAGGTCAATACATTTACATGGCAGTTTAAAAGGACAGCTGAGACACAAATAAAATTTCAGTTAAGATGAGTTTAAGGTGCTTCGTTTTCAATTAAAAAGAGCTCAAGAGTTATAGCAAAAACAGACAAGTTTAGGCAGCTTGAGTTCTGCAAAATTACTATAATTTCTGAAACTTAGCTTCTTTTCTATTCACATCATTAATGATGCCATAAGGCAAAACAGATTGCCAAAGAATAAAATGTAGTTCATCTAAGCTTCTTTATACTAAGTAAATCTATAGAGCATGTAGCACAAGACTCACAGACAAGTGAAAAGGAAAGCTCACACTTACAAAATAGTTTGCTCTATAATTCTCTTCCCTTTATTAAGCCAGCAAATCTCAGTCACTATAATAAGATTCCTTTGAAAGCCCCGACAAAATTACATTAGCAATATTCTAAATATTGGGAAGTTAGACCAAGTTAAAAATACACAATTCATCCCAGCACCAGCTGGCCAAGCTGCTGGAATTTCTTTCCAACAGAAGAAAGAAAATACTACATACATTCAACACAATTTTGTATTCAACCGAAATCTACTATGGTTTGTTGAACTGGAGAAGAAAATGCAGTATGAAGTAGAAACAGCTTTCTGTAACTATGGGCCACCAAATACTTGAACATTCCTTGGGTCACCTTTGAAGATTTGCTAACTACTTTAAACAGCTATATGTACAGTCAGAGATTATCCTGATTTAACTTCATAGGTATTGAGAAAAAAATCCTTTGGAAACATTTTTCCTTGCTAGAAATAAGAGCAGCCACATACAGCCCAGTATCATCATCCCCAGCATAAAGCTCTTGCCAACAAGCTACAAATCTTGCCGAGGCAAAAGGATACATATCCACAAAGAGCAGAAGAGTCTACTGTGACCACTTGCTGGGAAACAGAATCATCAAGCTTGGAAGAGACCTTCAGGATCATTGACCAACTGTCAACCCAGCACCACCATAATCACCCCTAAATCGTATTCCAATGTGCCACATCCAGACACCTCTGGAACACTTCCATAGCCAGTGATACCTTCCCTGGTCAACTTATTCCAATGCCTAATCACTCTTTCAGTGATTTTCTTTATTTTCTAATATCTAATTTGAACCTCTCCTGGCACAACAGAAGGCCATTTCCTCTCAACCTTTCACTTGAGACATAGGAGAAGAGGCTGACCCTCACCTGGCTACCAACTGCTTTTGGGTCATTGTAGGGAGTGATGAGGTCCCCCCCCAGCCTCCTCTTCTCCACACTAAACAACCCCAGTTCTATTGCCCTAAAAGAGACATTCAAACCACACTGCTTAGAGCCCCACTCTCTCTTAGACAGTGCTTTTGTGAGGGATTTCAGTGGCATCAGCCCATTTCAAAGCAGGGCTAACCTAGCAGTGACCAAGCAGTGAATCTAAAAGAGATTGCTAAAGTATGTTGCTAAAATCCAGCAGTGATGACTAGTAAATATCACAATGTCTTTCCTGGATGCCCACTGAACTTAGAAAAAACCTGAATACCCTTTCATGTCTACTGTATTTTTGTATGCTATATATATGATATATCAATACAGTATATATCATATATAGAGAGATATCATATACCATATATATCTATAGAAAAATCACATGCACATTTTTTTGCAGGCAATGGACAAAGAAAGAATTCTTATTTTGTAATTTTTCAAATTTACTAGACTGACGTTTAGCCCTGGACAAACCCGACATGACATCCTTCCATACTGTTCTTTCTGACAGGTTTTTACAGTAGTGGTGCCGAATTTGCTGTTGTTAGAACTTTGGTATGACTCAAGAGGTACTGAACACCATGTCCAGTTTTGCATTGTAATCCAAGTAGAAAGTTCAGCTCTTACTGTCTGGCTTCGTCTGTTAACTACATCTATGGCTAAATCATCAAATTTACATTCAGGTTAATCTCTTTTGGAAAAGACAATGTATTTGCAAGTATAAGTGTCTTACAACGACAGCATCTAGAAAACCAACTGTGCTGCAGAGTAATGAGGGAGTTGAACTAATGTGTTTAAAAAAGGAAAGTTTGTATTGTTCTGACACTACAGGCCTGGTTCTCCTCTTATTGCACAAAGTTTAGACTGGCATAACTCTTTTGACTCCTACTGGCTAACTTTTAAGTTAACCAGTAGCAACAGAGGAATCAGGGTGTGTATTTGCTACACTTGACATTCACCAATGTAAAGGCAGTTTTAACTGTGTTGTACAGGAGACTGGAACCCAAGATCTAGTATTTTGCTGAGACTGGTAACTGAACTGGTTAAGGGATTATTTGGATAGTAAGACCGAAGGAGAAATTAGGCTGCATGGCAACCTTCTCCTTCAATATCCAAACATCAGATTTGTAGATTTAAATACATCCTGAAGTATAATAAAAAGTGCAAGAGTAGTTTAAATTTTAATACAGTGTTTATCTTATTAATTAATAGATTGCTAAACAAGATGTAAAATACACATATGCATAAAAGCTTATACCATGATCTGCAGTGCCATGCTATGCGTAAGTGTCGAAGTTTGCATTTCACTTGCAATTCATGCTATGTTTCTTTGGTTTTCACCCCTGCTATTAAGTGGAAGAGCACCTGCTTTCGCTTGTAGTCACGGGGCACTTTATTTCTTTAGAGGAAATAAAAATTTGGTTCTGGGGCTCTGTGCTCTGGATGCAGATGCAGAAATCCCATTAATATTACTAGGAAAGCTAAGGACACAGGGGAGAACATACCACATTTAGATTACTGTACAGTTCTGCAGTCTCTTACATTTAGCCAATACTTCCAACAAAATAGCCCATAATAAAGCTTGGAATTGAATGTTATCTTTTGTTTGTTACTAATAATGCCTACAATTCTGGGCTCTCATAGCCAAGCAAGATTCATACTGTTACAGTCACGTTTATATCCACATTCAACTTCCTTTTATTAGAAGTATAATACTGCACTTTATATCACAAATGTATAAAAAATATGGCAGATAGTGTCATAACAATACTTTTCTTTTAAATGAATATATTTAAAAAACAGACAGTTATTTTCCATTTATATATATATTTATATATAGAATAAAATACTCCTGATGCAATATATAAATGTTACTGTTAGTTTTTTATAGAAACTACTGTAGCTGTCGCACTGCTTCACAATGTTTCAAACAGCTCAAAATAACTTTACATTATAACATAAAAGATATGATTATAACAGTACGATATTAGGTCATCATAAATAAATATTACAAATCCTATCAAATATGGAAATTTAAAAAACAAATTTAAGACATACAATTTAACTTTAAACCCTTAAGAGGGATACACTTTTATCACATAAACCCCACTGTTTTAACTAGGCAGCAAAAAATGTAGTAAGGGCATAGGTCTAGACATGAATGTTTTCACCCTTATAAGTGCCAATACATACCAGAAGTCTCCCAGCTTTCAGACAGAGATGTGCACTAAGCTGGAATGTAAATGAGAGAAAATGGCAATGCATTTTCTCCCTGACCTGCACACTCTGTCTGGCATCCAGCGACATTTCTGATGACTGGTTATTCGTAGTTCAACTTGTTTTACTGTATAATCCCTGACTCTCTCCGTGGTGCCAAACAGCATAGCTCCACATGTACATATTGCACACCTTTATAAAGCTGAAAATGCAGTCTTACCATCACCAGAACCACCACCACTCCCCTATGCTGATCTCCACCCGAACTGGCCTATTCTCTGGAGTGCAATTACAAGGCTGTCTCTTTTAAGTCATTCAGGTTCGGCATTCGCGACCGGTTTGTCCGGGCGTACGTGTGCCCGTTCTGTCCGCTCTTGGAAGGCAGCTGGTCAGAGTAGGGAGGCCCATCACTCACGCTCCTGTTCACGGGGGAGACGTGCCAGGTGGGTTCCAGCTGGCTCGGGATCTGCAGCGTCGGCCTGCTTTTGGGCTGAGCCTCCTGCCGCACGTTGCTGCTGCCGCTGCTGGAGCTCTGACTCATGGGGTGAATCCGCACTTCAGAGAAAGAAGCTTTGGCTGGCTGACTCGGTAGGGGCTGGAAGCGGGGCTCAGCAGGGACAGGATGGTTCGAAGAGAGGTGTAAGAGCTTTCGAAGAGATTTTAATGGCTGGCTCTGAAAGACACGCAGAAAAGCACTTGACCTTCTGCTCTCCATCATATCAGAATTCTTGTAACAAGACTGTCATAACCTAAACTGAACATCTTGAACTTCACAGGACTTTTTATTTGTATTCATTTGGTATATTTCATTACAAGCTATAACTACACACCGGAGAAAATGTCTTCTCATCGCAGTTCAATCTACTAGCTACCTGACAAGGTGGAACCTTTTCTACATCAGAAAAAAATTGCTCCCATCAATTATTTCATCCTTGTTTCCTTTAAAAATGCAGGCATAGACAATTGCATTAGCTGACCATCTGTCACTTCTCTAGCTATTAACTTTAGAACCTTAGCCCCATTTTGTGAGGCCCAGCTTATCAGAAATACGAAGTTCTTAAAAATTTTGTGAACATCAACTAGGGGTTAGTGAGAGTCTTGAGTAATCATCTCACTGAAACAAGGTCTGGCAGCACTCTGCAGTTACCATATTTTGCTTACTGACAACTGGGAGATAAGCAGCTCTGGTCTCTCACAGCTTCTTTAACTGGTGAGCAGGTTGAAGGAAAATGGAGATACAGAGTTACTGAACATGGGTATCAGGAGCCTGGGGAAGCCTGAGTACACAAATCGGTATGAAAACAGCCTCGCTAAATTCCACAGCTCAGAGAGCAACTTGTTTCGTCAAATGCTGCAGCTGCAACAAATTCTCTTTTCCAGTTTTCTATGTGATGGCCCCTGAGCATGGTACTGAAGCTCCCTCCCAAACCCTGTCCCCCAAGCTGGTTTTAGAACTGGAGAAAATAAAGTTGCATTACTGCAGCTCTACGTTCCAAAAATGAAGCCTGCCTAAACTGCAGTCTGTGCCAGCCACACCATGGCGTGGCCTCGATGCTCTGGTGACCACACCAAGTATCAAACTGTGCCCTGTGGCAGCGTGGCCTTGGGATTCACCATTCCTTACAGAGCTCTCTTGAGGCTTTGGTACAGCACTGCATTGCACCCACAGATGTGCACTGAAACACTCCTTGCCTCTAATAAAAAAACATAATATTTTGAAGGGCTCAAAGACTGACACAGGGACATTTAGTCTTTCTCTTCCTTGTCATTCATATCTAGATTTTCAAAAATTATGCAGGACCACAAGCATATGATTTTTTATGTTCAATGAGCAGGGAATGAGAAGTTTGGGAAGTAATGTCAAGTTCAACTTTTCTATTCACCAGAGAAAAAGCTGTCAAGATACCTCATTAATACTAAAATACAGCGAATTGATAATGCCACTTACATGAGGCTGGATTTCTGTCATCTTCTCAGGATGCCAATCCTTCTGCCTGCTGCTCTGGTGATTAGAAGAATGAATGGCTTTCTGTAATGCCAAGAGATCCTGACCATCAGTGTTAGGCATCTGCAACAAAATATTAAATACTGATCTCCTAATATATTCTTAGGAATAGCTGTAAATAATCTCCCACAGTTAATTACAGAACACAAGTGAAGCCCATTACTGCAGCAGAGTTGCAATGACCTTTCAATAATTTTCCCCATAGTAAGAGCAAGTGGCTGTGGATATCATGCAGATTCGCTCTACCCTTAGCCCTTAAAGCATTCGCATGCTGTTAGTGTTATTCGCTGTAAGAGAGAGCAGTTAAACAAGGCCTTAAAATTAAAAAAAAAATAAAAATATTGTTGAGCCTCATCTTCATTTAAAAAGCATTCCATACTGCAGTTAAGACCATGGATCAGTTCTATAAATTTGTTCCCAAGTGAAGCAGACCAAATCTCTCTAAACTGATGTTTTGACTGATTTTGCCATCACAAAACAAAGAGCTTTTTCTTTTCCCATCTTTCTTCTCCTCCACAAATATCCCAAACTAAAGCAAAAATTAGGAAACAGCCCCAGGTGAAATTTTATGGCAGAAGGATAATCTAAAACTTAGATGCAGATTTTTATCTCATTTCAAGAATTCTAAGCAAAAAACCCGGTCAAAACCTAACCTATTTTTAATGCAAGCTGCCTTTTATCATGAAGAATCAAGACAAACAAAAACACAAGACACATGAGCTAAAATTTCTTTTTCAGATAATCCATTGTTAATATCTGATTGATTAAATTTGTATATAAATGGCAGTTTTTATAAAAATATGTATTTATGAGACAGCTATAAACCAAACCTCATTTTTTCCATGATTGAAACAGAATGAGACTGTGTATCTTACATTTTCAGTAAATCAAATACTATAAAAAAGTTTTTTAGGCACAGCCTATTTCAACAGAACTTCCAATTTTACTTAAATTTATTGAACTGGCCCAAGATACTTAACTGGCATGAAGAGGAAGTGACACCATGAAAATAAACCACATGCTGCTGTAGTCAGTAAAACAAATTTACTGGAGCATTTTACAGTGCTACTGTACTTAAAAATTAATACCATGGGTAGAGTGACTACAGGAAGCTTTTTCAAAGAAGAGCTATGCTTTAAATTATTCTTTGAATTAAAAAGAGGAAAGAGGGATTTCTTGATGCTTGGATTCTCCCCGTTGGTTGAGTCTGTCTGCAATATAAGATACAAAAACTAAATGCATAGTATTTAAATTCAAGAGATATGCCCTTACTATATTAATCCTTTTTTTTTTTTTTTTTTTTTTTTTTAATTCCAACAATACATGTTATAAAGCCTATAATTTTCTTTGGGAAAATACAACAGTGATTGAACAGAAAAGCCTATGGAACAAATTCAAGGAACTCAATGCATAGAAAGCATGTAAAAAAAGATCAGTACACCTCTTCTTATTTCCATGTTCATTAGGAATGCAAAGTGTGTTTCAAAGCCTTTTGGAGACAATTGGTAGGTCTTTTTGACTTTATTGAGCTTTGGATAAAATCCTGTAACTTTGGCAATCATTTGTACCTATGATAATGACCTAAAGCAGTGTGACATTTCTTATTTTTATATAAAGAAAATATCAAAGATACACTAACAATAATAGCAATTGGTTTCAGAATGAGCAGCCGATAATTACTCTAGAAAAAAATGAAAATATTCTATTTTTAAATTGCAGAAAGATTTAGGGCTCCAAGAAGAATTATTTCAGTTCTATCATAAATATTTCATTAACAACTTCATCTGTAACTGCAAGGACACTGGCTGTTTTATTTTAATTTCTCTAGCACAACCAAAGAGCACATCAATGGATGCACAAACAGCAAACACAACTATAAGGTATTAAAATTATGAATGGGACTATTTCTCCCCTGCTCAGGTGCAAACAAGAACAGGACACATATGCTGTGTCTTGCATTATCCTTCCTGTCATAAGAAAATGTTATAATGCAATAGAATTACTATATGACTAAACAGAATGATGGGTGCACTGTCAAAAGTAAGGGGTTTCAAACAGCTTTCTCAGCTTCTAAATTCCATCCAAGTTAATGAAAGAAAGTAAAAAATTAGCATAGCTTAGGTTTAGGAACTTTATGGTCAGAAGATCTTCCTGTTTCAAAGTCATTAAATTAAAAAGGAATGAAAGCATTGCTAAGAGAAATGCTCACCTGCAACAATTTTTTCCAAAGAGTAATTATTCAGACCAATAGCTTGGAATTTCTGCCAAAATCTGCAAAACTCAGGCTCCTCTGAAGATAGTGCCTACTGACACTGCACAACCCTCACGGATATGAAATTGTTTGAAGGCACAGGATAGAAAAAATTGTGACTCTAGAAATCCTCAAAAACTTTTACTACGTTACTAAAAGCCTTCACACAAGATGAAAAGGAGAATGGATAAGAACAGCTCTGCATAAACATCATCGCAAAGAATTCCCGTAACAGCCAGTAACAATTATTATCCCATGAGGTACTGCACCTGGAGAACTCTAGGGAGAATGATTCATGGGAACAACTCTGCAGCAGGAAGCGTCAGAAACTGGGATCAATTTTGGGCTATTAGATATTTTGAGAATGATGTTATTAAGAAGAGATGCCTTGAATCCAATTTCAGATATTTTTTGCGACTCCTATGACGATCACCAGCAAAATGAGACTTGCCAAAGAATATCAGAAGTAAATCGTAGCTATGATGTTCTTCCCAGCACTGTGACAGTCCTCAGGTTTAGTTTGCCATTTGCTACAGAAAGTCTGTGTTTGAGTAAATAACTGATATTTCATACTTTTAGGACACTATATTTTAACCCTCAGGAAAAAGCCCTGGGTAGTCACAAGCCGACTTATTATTATTAAATCATAGAAAACATTATTCGTGTAGTTGAAGAGCTAATATTAAAGAGCTGTTAACAGCTTTTAGTACTGAAGTCAAACTTGGTGCTGAACTGAAGGGAGTAATTTTTGTTTGTGCTGGAAGATCCTAAAGAACATCCCAATGTTTGTTAGGTTGACGTCTTCAACTAATAGATGAAGAATAACAAAGAACAGTGTCCGAACCAGACACTTGTATGTCATCAGAGGTACAGTCTGTCCCTAGATACTGTCCTGTTAATCAGCTCCAAGTAGAAAAGAAAAGAAGTCTCTGGTTGGATCAAAAAATCAAGTTGATCTCAGTGAGTTTCTAGTTTAGGATGTGAGAGTTGTATCACTACCTTATTTCACTAATTTATTCGTCTTCTGTGAGATACCAGCTCTAAGTAGCAAACATACTTTTCCCTTATGCAAAACCTCTCTCTCCCTCCCCGTTCCCCTCTACTCCTCTTTTTAAGAGTGAGAAGAAAAAGGAGTAAGGATTATGTATAAACCTCTCCTATCTTGCAATCAGTGATGGCTTTGGTAGCTACAGATCAAGGTACTTTCAATTTAGGTGTTTTGTAAAGTGCCAGATTTTGAGATGAACACAATTCAGTCTGTATTTTCTTCACACAGTTTAATCTGGAAGTAGTTGATACATCATCTATCAGCTGAGCAATTAGTGTTCCCTGCCACCATGTCTGAATGGCTGAAACCAGAGCAGACTATACCAGTGCAAATTTAACACCTTTTTTTTTTTTTTTTTTTTTTTTTACAATGCATCACTGGAACCGATGATATCAAATAATCCAAGAGCTATAACTGAGACATTTTGTTCAGTTGTGTGATACAAATGATTATATTTGAACTGTGTACAGGTATGAGGATGAACAAGTTCAGAAGGAGAGGTGGATGCCATTGCTTTAAATCGCACTCAGCAGGCAGGTGAGATGCTTTTTTGAGCTCTAGTTAATACAGATATGCATATGTTCCACACAGTTCAAAGAAACTTTTAAAACCCCCAAAAAACCTGGTATCCGATCCTCTCCCCCAATTCTCATCAGATCAGCCCTCCACCAACACTCAGTCACACCACCTCACTCCTTACTCCCCTTTGCCAGGAGTGACCATGGTTTACTCCATTCTGAGAATCTTCAAAACTATAACTGCATTTACACTTATAGAAACATCACAATTTTATGCAAATAAAATGTGAAATGTTTTACTGTTTCCAGAACTGTCATTTGAGAATGAGATTATGTTTAGGCTACTTCAGTTCTTAAGGAGACTATAAAACTTTGTGAAGGGTCAATATATCACTTTTCTCTGGTAAAAGAAAGGCCTTTCTCCCTCCCAAAAAGTATTTGAAAATGTAAAAATCTGTGAGACAACAAATACTGAATAACAAAAGCCACAATCCATTCCCTCAACCAAACATAAAACATTAAGAATGGTTAAGATACATCATCCTTATTCCAGTCATGGGATGCGGCAAGAAGATGGAGGCTGTTACCAAGACACTTGTATGAAAAATTCTGGAAAGAATTCTCATTTATAACAGTCTGATTTCCTCCATATGGGTGCCTGAAATTATTCAAGCTCTGAGGAGACCCAACAATGCATTTACTATTCTTAGATTGATATCACCAGATCCTGCAAAAGAATTTGGCACAATATCAGCTTAAAACTTGCATCAAAACTGGCTCTCAGAGGGTCTGAATGAAAACAAAGATGCACAGGACTAGTTAGTGAAGAAATATTTGAAAAGGCAGAAATATCAAGCCTGAACAGGAGAAGAGTCTGACTTTCATAAAGTGACGAGAGAAAACAATAGAAGAAATAGATACACACATGAGCATAAATACAAGTACTGTACTAATCTAGCAAATAAAAATGGTGTAATTCAAAACCAATTTGTAATTCAAATATAACTTCTTTTATTAGAAATGCTGCATACTTACAGTTTGAGATTTCTTCTTTTTCTTTTTTATTGCCCTGAAAAAACCTTGCTTTTCTTTCTCCTTGAGCTGTTCTGAGTTAAGGTTTTCAGGACTTTTCCTAAATATGAAATAAGGTATCGTAAGAGAGATTTTATTTTGGCATTTACTTTGTAAATTCTGTGTAATACTGAGATCTGATGCCAAAGAACGGAAATTACTGAATTAAGTAAAAAGATTCTTAATGTTTTAGCATTCATTGGTTCCAGGGTTACTATACAAATACCAGATAGGTTTATTAAATGGGATAGGAGGTACACAGTGTTAGGGTAAAATGATTAGTTTCAACCAATGAATAGTTATTTAGGGAAAAGGAAAGCATGCATGTCTTCTTCTAAGAAATTTATACTCAAACCAAAATATCACACACGAAGTCTTTTAGAAAAATGTGAGAACATACAAATGGCGATGAGGTTTAAAAGCACAGATTCGGTTTATCCACTCCTTGCTGGAGAACCAGGAGTTGCAAAGTTCGCCAGACAGAACCACTTTGCTGATGTGGTCCCAGATTTATCACTGGGGAAGCTGGGGAACTACTGTTGTCCATTTCAACTTAAAACCTTCAGTTATTTTGTTAAGCATAGGCGAGACAGTGCTGGCAATAGGAGGTGACCCAAAAATGGAACAGGTGACTTGCCTGAAGACTGAATTTCCGCCTTTTACATGTCTGAAGTAACTACAGCTGATAAACAACATGTTACTTTCAGAATACACAGTAAACCATGTCTGTAAAGTACCGATACAGGGTAAAAAGATGGTTTACAAAGAACATTGGTGAGACATAACTGAATGCCATTCTAGTGCCCTTTAAAATAGCTTGAAACTTGAAAATGGTACAGGAAAGTGTCACAGAAATAGTTTCAGAGATAGAAAGAATGGCCTACATTAAAAAAGTCAGAGGTTTCCATCTCCTTAGTGTGTTTAGAAACACAGCCAAACCAGCCCAAATATTTAGTTTCCTTGCCTGATGCACAAGTACTTATTTAAGAAGAAATTACAGAATACTAGAAAGATCTTCAGACTAAAGGGCAAAGATAGAACAAGAACAAGTAGGTGGATTATGAAGCCAGAGAAGTAATATTAGAAATAAGGCACTGATTTTCACAATAAGCATGATTAACTGCCAGAACAAACTCTTTAGTAAAGTGGATTTCCCATCTTTGACATTTCAAATTGGGACCTCATACTGGGAGATATTAGTCAGGTGTGCCTCTGGGCCTGGATCCCAGAGACCAGGTGACATTAAATAGCAACTAACGTATAGCAAATCATGCTGGGTAATTTAATAGTCCTTATTGACTCCTAAGTTGTATGAAAACAAAACAAAAAAAATTATATAATTGTTTTGATGGAAAGCCTAAAGGAAAGCCACAGTTTTAAGGGCTCTGGATGACGAACAGGAGCAGCTTTTCTGGGAGTAACTGTAATGTAGCAACACTCTCTACTATAGTTGTCGCTGGCTTCTAATTCTGGCTTTAAATGCTATGCTATCAGCTGGTGATTCAGCTGCTACTACATGCCAAGATGACTTTTTTTTCCCCAAGCAAATGTGAAACACATAATTGGGGTAGAAATCACTGAAGCCATCCTCCTTATCAATAAAATTCTCTTCACTCTGGTAGCTGGTTTGACCAGCTCCTCAATTTTTACACAAAACCATCTCAAAATGTTACCTGGTTCTAAATATAAATGCATGCAGTGTTTAAATGCTGGATAAAGTGCAACTGTTGATTAAGAGAATGATCTTAGTGGAAAGATTCATAGGCAGGAAGTATGGTGGAAATTTTCCTCATTTAGATTTTTTTTGGAACTTACATCTGGATCCAAGAAACACTTGCAGGTGCATGACAACATAGATTCAATGTGGACATTGCAACACTACAGGAAAAAATCTCTAGTTTAATATGATTATTGTAACACATATTTTAAATATACTGGATTGCCAGGGATTCCTGTTGCTGTCATGTCCCTGTATTTGGTACTACTGTGTAACAGATGTAAGGCACTCTTGTAGTAGTCACTTAGGAGCACTGAGAATAAAGACTACTGACAGCTTTACAGATTCACTGAACTCATGAGACCGACTTAACACAGACAAAATATCTACTGAATTATTTACTCAATGATTTTTACTTGATTCGTTAGAAAAGTTGGAGGAAAGCATGCACTCCAAGCATCCTTCTTGTACTCAGAATGTCACATAAATGGGGCTAAGAACCTTCTGAGCCTTTCCCTAAAGGAGTTACTGTGCATCCACATCTACAAAGATATCCCAAACCGTTGCCCCAGTGCAAATTACCAACCCAATGACGGTGTTGTCCGCAGAGGAACCAGAGTCAGGAGGTTACTCTACACTGTCCTTTAAAATTTTTCAATGTCTTGCTATGGCTTTTCTGTTCCAAAGTCTATTCCAAAATGGAGATGCTATCTTAAAAGGTGAAGTTAATCTTCAGAGTGCAGCTTGGAACATTTTTTGCCATACTTGTAGATAGAGATTCACTCAAGTGTGATTCTTTTCTCTGGCCCAATGAACCTGGATGAGAAAACTGCTCTCAACAGCAGTTGAGCAGAAAGGAGAGAAATGAAATTCTGCACCATCATTTCCTCTTTATGGCTAGAGTGACCAGAGTAGGAAAATAAGGGGCTGAGAACTCTGCTCCTTTTCAATTGCTGCTTACCCAAAAGTCAGTGGCTTTATACTGACTGGTTTATGTCATTAACTTCTATGACTCATATTGCAGTACAGTTGTCAGAAAAAGCATTGACCTTGAAAAGCAACTGCTTCAAAACACATGCTCATTATGTGAAGAGAGTGAACATATATAGCATTATAGCAGGAAGCTTCAACACCAGGATTCTGTACTGAGTAAAAATAGAGCAGAACATTTTGATCGATGATGAAACACTGGTATATTTTAGACATCCCCAAAGATGATTTTTAGATAGTGGACAATATAGGGAAAAAATAGGATTATCAGAAAAAAATCTGTATGGTATGGTTGAGTCAGTCAACAGTAAACTCTTACAACATACTGCAAGTATCTTGGCATTTTGCATAAAGCTTCAGCTCTTGAAAGCAAACAGTTACACCAGAATCTGTGCTGTTCTACTCGCAAGTAGAGAGTAGCCCTAGATAAGAGAGACCCCACTCAGAGAGCTAATTCACAAGAAGAAACCAAAGGCAAAATGTCCTGTGCTTTGTTATTTTATCTTTGTGTACCTTTTGCATGCTTAGGACACATAATGTACAACACATTGGTTATTCTGGTCTGAGACACATGGAAAAAGCCTGGGTATAAACCAAAATTCTGTGATTATCACTCCTATTTATTGCCCCTGGCAGGAAAGGTATCCAGCTTCATGCAGGTACAATGAGGTGTAGCAGCGAACATGCACGTGGCAAGCAAGCTGATGCTTGAGAATAAATAGGAAGCATGTTGCATTCATGCTGCCATTGAGAGAGGTGTGTTGCAGACAGCTCTTTTTGGGAGGCAATTCATCATGCTTATTTTAGCTATTTTTCAGCAACTCTGATCTCAGGCAGCCTGGCTTGGAAACGCTCTAACTGCCAGCGTAGTGCCCCCTTTACTGAACCAATCATAATTACATGAGTAAGGTTTTTGTCTGATGGAGGAGTTACTGAAATACCTGAATTTTTCTTTGGAAGATAAATGAACAAACACTAATTCTCCACGTTGGCTTTTAGTTTTGCTTTAAGTAAGACCTTTAAGGGGCAGTTACAGAGTTACCATTTAGCGAGGGGAAGATAATGTCAGAAACTAATGAAGTAATCCAAATACATAGTTTAAGGTAAGAATGTCAATTCCAAAAGCTGAAGTCCACAGTAAAACTTCTTGATCTAAAAGTCTTGCACTGAAAGCTTAAAAATCAAAGATCAAATCTGAACTTTGTTTGGAGCTATAATTTTTTATTTTTCGTGTGGAAAAGGAGGATTTACTAACTGGAATAAACCCCAGATCTACTATCTCATATACAGAATACCATTCAGAATTTGCAATTTCCTGATATTTTTACAAATTCCATAAAAGAACTGGAAAGTATTTACAATGCAGCAACAGTCATACTGCAGCCACAGCTGAACACTATTTAAACTAACTTGCTCAGATAATGGTAATCTTATAGTTTCAGGAAGAGTAAGTGTGACTACATTGTTACACTGATACTGAGACAGTGATTTAACAGTCAGTCATGTCCTGTTTACAAAATACTATGTTGTTTTGGAGTTTTGAAACTTAAAAGTGGGTAGAGTTTTAAGCCTTTGACTCTCCTAAGAGCAAGATGTTCTTTCTTTTTTTTTCTCTTTTCTTGAATGACAAGAGAGTTTGTGTGTGTTTATATATATTACATAGATATAAAAATAGTAATATTATATATATATTTCCTATTTTTATTATTTTGCAGGTAGGTATGACAAGCTGCTTGTCGTAGAATGACTACATTTGTACGGACGTGAAAGATCTAAACAAAAAAACTTTCCAGAAGCCCCCAAATATCTTGTAAGCAATCAATGCAAACACTTCCAATATGATGTGAGATAGAGTACTCCAAGCTGGAATTTATTCTAAAGAGATATTTGGAACTATGACAATGGTAAATACAATTCAGGGCAATGTTCTGGCATGCTGGCAGAACACAATTAAGTGTCTTGCCTGTACCTGCTGAGTTTCCTCAGCTCAGGACAAAGCTCGTACAAGTGAAAGAGAATACAACATGTACTCTTGTATCAAAAAGAAAAAATTGAGCAAGTTCAAGGTCCTTTACAGGAAATTAAACTCTGGCAAAGAAAATATTTTCTAGAAGGATGAAAAATTTGCCTTTTTTCAATTCAAGTTGTCTAAAGTTCAGAAATGATCTAGTAATTTAAGAGTAAAATCTGATGACAAAAGTCGAGTTTATAACATCTTTATTTTAAAAGGCAGGACAGTGGGGACAGAGCGAAGAAATGCACACAAAGACAAGGGAACATCTGTGACAATTCAGTCTAGCAAACATTCACAGAATCTTTGACAGAAGAAAGGCAACATAGAGCAATACTATGAGAGAAGCAATATTTTACAGTAGTGGCAAGTCCAGGTGGAATACATGTCACTCATAATTCGACATGAATTGTCATGTACCAGTTTTGTATGTCAGTCAAACATCAAATATTTACTTCATCATAAAAACTGATGTAAGCAGAATCACATTCCATTAGAGCTTTAAACATTTTCATTAGCATTTACACAACTTCTATACAGAAAATTAAGTAGAGGAACAAAGACTCTACACCACTCAGGAATCTGATTAAGCTGCATTTATGGCACAGAACAATTTTGCAACAAGATTAGACCATTGCCAGGACAACTTGAACAGAGTTAACATGTAGAGCTGGGCAGGAAACATCTTGGGAAAATAGGGAGTAGGAAAAGCAAAGAGAAAGAGAAGCATATGCCAAAATAGCAGTAACTTGGTGTTGCAGGTACTGCTATTCCTCCCATTTCATACAAAGAAATGTTTATCCTTCTATGGGTTCTTTTCTCAAAGGAGCTGTTCCAGTTTGTGAAAATATCTGAGTACATTAATTGGATCAAGGACTTAAATCTAACTGTCTCAAGGTTAATGAAAAGCCTTATTCACTAGGCCATATTCAGTACCTCTCTAGTCCTTTCACTATTTTAACAAAGTGAAACAGCTTCAAGAGAATATATTGAGGGAACCAAACAATGTGCTCCAGAATAACCTCTAACTTCTGGTTCAGGGCATTCACTTGTTAGATCTAAGATCTTGGTTCAAGCCTCTAGTTTAAATAAAGAAGAACAAAGGCCCTGCACTCAAGTTCCCCACGTTCAAAAAAACCAAAATGCTGACTCCAGAATATTTGTTATTTTGAGAGTATCTCTGGGTTTGACTGGCAATTCCATCCTGGAGTTGAAGAATCTTCACAATAAAAGTAAGTGGATGTTCCTTTGAAAAGTTTTGGGTTTGATAATTTTTCACCGTAAATGAAAAAAACAAAACACCCTTCATAAAAGAAATTCCCAACCAGCTCTAATAACATATGCTATTATTTCAGTTCAGAGTTAAAATAACATTACATGTTTCTTTGCAGTCAAGGCAATATATTGCTGAATGATATATAAAGCAAAACAAGATTCCAGTTGTCTTATGTTATATGCAAGATAGAAAGATTCAGATACGAAGGACAACAAAATATGTAAAAGGGTTCAACAGCAGGAATAAATACCTTCTTTAGCCACATAAGTCACAATATAAGTACCACCTTTTTACATAAATGATCGGTTTCCTCAGCTAACTTCCACAAAATGGATGTAGGTGGAGCTACTGAAGGACAGGAAGCAGACTCTAGTGAATCAGAGCAGGTGACAAAGGTTCTGGAGTAAACATCTATTACTGACACAGGTATATAACCTCAACACAAGCTGAAATACCAACCAGCCACCATCCCCCAACCCCCCACCCCCTTTCTTTTTTTTAAACACGTAATCCACAGGTTGTTTGTGTGAAAACACGTTAAGTCAACAAATCACTGAAACAATTCTTTGATAGCATGACTTTATCGCACTTTCAGAGAGAAGTGTTTCAGAGAGTGGGATGAAGCATAGTCGAACCATGTAAATGTACACAGTCCATTCCTCCCACCAATCCTTTGAAGCTCCATTTGCTTTTTTTTATTCAGTTGTGCTTTATTGCAAATAAACGAAGTAGAAGACTAAGAGTATTTTAGAGCCAAACAGCTCTCAGAGAAACAAAATTAAGGTATTTCCCTTTAAGTCCTGCAAAGCTATGCATATGCAGTCATTTTATTAGCATAATTATAGTTAAGTGTTTTATGTTATATAATGGAGCCATGTGATGCTTTTAATCCTTTAAAATCAATATACACCATTAAGATGTTGCTTAGCCCATTTTCCCCATAGAATGTATTCATTTCCTTCTGTGGTGCGTAAACAAAAAGGGCAGTGGTCCCCATTGTAGGGTGAAAATATTCATTAATACAGTCCTATCGTATATATGGAAACATGCACTTTGATATTTTTTTCCATTTGTATGACAATTCATGCTTCTGGAACCCACAGATTTCTATTCATACCATATGCACACAAGCACTTTAAACTATCTATAACTGAAGATTAATAGTGTGGAAAAAAATGGGAAAGACAAAAGTATATTAACTTTAATGCGCTCATGTTATGGTGTAATGAAGTATTTCTTGCTGCTCAAAAGGGGACAGAAAAAATGCCATGCTATGCCAGTACAGCTGGAGGAAGCAACTCAGCACACAGACAACTGCCAATCTTAAAGAAAAGCGGGTTTGTTTTTTTTTCATTCTGTTAAAAACCCCTTTTTCCCCCTTCCATTCTCCACACATCTGTGTAAATAACAACTCACCAGGTATCAAAGGTCGTTTGTCTCTTTGAGTGGTTTGCCACTGTGCTGCTGTCTGCTGGTAACACAGAGGCTCTGTTTGACACGTTGTTTTCTATGTACGTACTCTCTGGACGCGGAGATGGGACTGAACGGAGAAACAGCAAACAATGTACACTGAGCTCTGCCAAAAACCCCAGCTCTCAGCTCTCTGATTCCTCTCTCCCTCTTACAGAAACAAGAACATGAGGACACAGTAGCACTTTAGGTACAATTGAAAAAAAGCTGTCATTCTGTGATAGTTTCAAGGTAATAATAGTTGTAAAATGAGACCATCCTGAAAAAAATTACTTTGGATTTTAAGGTAACTAAGAATAAGAGATAGTGGACTAAAAATTAAAGTATCAAAATCAGATATTGTTATCAGATATGTATTTTTCAAACAGACATACTGTGGTTTTCAAAATACACTGTACATACCCAGCACATACGTTTATTAGAATTATGAGTACCACCAGAAACGCCTGCACTGGATTAAAAATTGATCAGACACTAGTTGCAGCATTAATGCAGCATCACATTACACTATCTATCAAAACTGAATCTGTAAGTTTTTGTTCAAGCTGTAGTACAAAAGTACATACTAATAACCTTTGTATTTAATCACTACTTAAGAATTACATAAATATGAATTTACTTTTTTCACAGTTACTTGTATAAATTATTATCAATGGTTTTGCATGTAATATCATCAAACTATTTTTAAATATAGTACCATTTTCCCAAAGCAATAATTAAGTTTGTCTAAAATATATATATATATATATATATATATATATATATAAAAAGAGGAAAAAGCCTCTAGTTTATGAATGAATGGCCAGTCTCTTCGCGAACGAAGAACCGGGGAAGGTCTTTACACCTTCCAGCCTGCGCATTGGATTTTTTAGGTGAGACACAGTGTGCGCGGAACTGAGCCCACCCTTTAATCCTGAGGTGCATCTGCCGGGGCCAAGCACTCTTGGACGGTGGCAGTGAGGTCCTCAGGACGTAGATGGATTGCCTTACAGGGCTAACGAGCTCCATCTGCCCAGGGAGTGTCCTAACCGGGAATCGAACCCAGATCTCAGCGTTGACAACGCTGTGGTTTAGCCACTTGACCACCAGAAAAAGCCTCTAGTTTATAAAAAGGAACTGAATAAACCCCAGACCGAGAGTTTCCTTAGCACATGACTTATAGAAAGCCATTCTTCTGAAGCAGGAGGGGTTAATCCAACACCTGCCCCTTTTTCTGGGCATCACTTCTTTGGAACTTTTTGTTTCACTATGTATAAAAAAGAAGGATAATCCATGTCCAATTTTAGGAGCATTATAAGGATTAATAAAAACAATTCAGGACTGAGGATTCCTAAAGATTCTCCGATACATGGGTGACAAAATCTTACACTCAAAAGCATCACTCAAAACAGTATCAGCTTTAATATCGCTCACAGGTTTTAATATTGCAATGGGACCCTTGGCAAGGATTGTCACAGATTTTAACATGTCTAAATCAGGTAATCAGCCAACTGGTCAACCTGAGGAGAATCAGAAGGAGATTTGTGACTCTACTTAAGGTTATTAGGTGAGTCATAATTGAATTTCAGCTGATTAGGGCTTCTTTAGGTTCAGGGAGTCCCACAAGTCTCCTAACACTTGCAGGACAGTAATTAGCTTCTTATCATATTTTTCAAAACAATTACCCAGGTTTAGCCATGAGGCAGCTGCTCAGAAATTGCCATCTTTTGTGTGCCACAATAGAACAGTATCTGTTTCTGTGAGTGTGTATACAGACACATGCACACATGTATGTATGTAAATATATATATGTTCATACACAACCCCCTTTTGTTATTTATTCTGAACAGGAATTATGTAAATGTGCTTTTGCTTGTAGTTGTTCATGTTAATCCTCTGTATCCCTTTCTACTACCTGATTCATATTCGATCCTAAAATTCTTGATTAAATTTGAAAGATCCACGATAAAATTACCTCTGTAAAAGCTGCCAACTCTTCTCGGAACAGGGTCATTATACAGAATTCTATTTTCCTTAGTAGATGCTCCATCTTCTGTGTGTGGATCATGATATGCTCCACCCTAAATAAAAGAACAACAAACTATTTAAAATTAAAGACTATAAACTGATTTGCAGTTTTTAACCACCATACATAAGCAACAGAACTCCATAGTTGACCACAAAATTTTTGTTTCATGTTATTAATAACTGCCAGTATCAAATCACAGACTATGTAATCAATAATTAGTTGGTTTTCCTGCTTGCTTGCTTTTTTCCAAAATTACAAAAATGGCATTAACAGAATTTTGCCTCTAAGTTGCAATTTTAAAACCTTGAGCCTGATTCAAAACCTCAGATTTTCACTGTGAATGCAATGCAGCTGTAATGCCTCTGGAAGAATCTTTCAAGGGAGGCCTTATTAAATTAATTTCTGATGTCACTCTGTTACTGGCAAATTTAAAAAGCAAACAGGAAACGCACATAGTTTGTGATAACTGCAATACCAAAGCACTATCATCCCTTATCAGCCATGAAACAGCAGTACCTAGAGGTACCAACAGTCACAAAATCTACTGTATGCAAAATACCAGGAAGTCTCTGAACTAAGAACTCCATAGGTGAATAGTTTAGTCAGACAGGAGAGCAAAAAGAATATAATTACTTTTAATTAATTCTATTTTTCTGAATACAGTACTTCCTGGGAGTACTCTAAACAAAAGCTTAAGTGCATCCTTAGAAACACCCATATGCACATATTTTGCCACCAAATATGGCTTAACCCCTCTCTTAAATGAATCAGGTGCTGCAATTTTTCCTGCAGTATGGACCGACCAGATAAAATTCAACGCCATCTACAAGGTCCCACAGGAAACTACTAAAACCCCCACATGAATCGAAATCTAGAATGTCCAAGAAGGACAAAGATTAAAAATCAAAACCATAAAAAACCCCAACTAGAATGAAGAACTGGGATTTCAATTCACTGCATGAGTGATTTGCAAAATCTGCTTTGCCTTTTGCTGATGATGATCTGGTCTCACTGTCACAGATATAACAAACCTTGAATCTGTGCCAAGACCAGAACCGAAGCTAAAACAATGATTTAAATCACAGTTGGATTCTAAAATTTACCAGAGGCTGAAGCATTTGATTAAATTACTACTTGTATTAGACACCTCTTCTTTGTCAGCAGTTAAATTTCAAATATGAGACACTAATAGCAAGTTGTACTTGATTTTCTTCTTAAATCCTTTTTGTGCACATTTAATTTAAAAGTAAAAAGAACTCTTAAAGCAAAAGTGTTGAACTGAGACTGCAAGTTTTTTGTTGTTTCCTTTTTTAAAAATAAGATTTAAAGCCTGACAAACAAAGAATGTTTTTCTTTAAAAAGGCTTGGTAGAGCTAAAGAGAAAATCAGTGACAAACTAGAAACATGGAAGTGAGAAAAAGGAAAACAATAAGCAACCTTTGAGAACACTTGTGTTATTAATGATTTTTTTTAATCACTAATCCTGAGAGGCATGAAATTTTCTGATTTCTAATGCAGAATACAGAAGAGGAGTGGGGAAAAGTGAAGATATGAAGGAGGTAAAGAATAACTTCTTTGTGAAATAACTTCTTTCTTTGTGAAAATGCCTTTAAGAGGCATAAGAAGATTGTCAATTCTGATTTGTTACTGAAAGTAGTATAAACAAACAAAAAACAGCTTTGTGAATTTACAGAGTTGGCATCCATTTCAGAAGAGTCATTTTCCTTTCACATTTCTAATGGTTGAAATACAGATTTAAAAACATTAACTAAAGGCTTAAGTTTAAAAAATATTGACCATAAGAGATAAAGGCAAGTTCTTCACAAATGAATTGGCTTTCCAAAGCAAATGAAAATCAACAAAACCTTAAGCATTAAGATACACATAAATTTTTCTAAATAAAATAAAAATTTGTCAGCAAATTTTCAAAAGACAAAGAATGATCTGATCATTCATTCAAAAAAAATCAGCCTCTAAATAACAAGAAGTAAAATCAAAATTACTTCAAATTACTAACTGCTGCACAATGCAGAAAAAGATTCTAATGCACTGAGGAATACAAGGTAGCATGAGCTTTTACTATCAAAAGCTGAAATGTTGATATTATTGCCCTTTGACAGTAATATCTTGAATAAGTAACATTTAACTTGACTGAAATGAGAAAGACATAAAGAAAAAAATTGTTTTGAAATAGAGCTGCTGTAATTCCTTTTAGGTAGCCTTTTTTTTTTTTTTTTTAAATTATTAATCCATTGCATTTCTCCTACTTTGATATTTTCTGATGTGTAAATACACATAATCCTGAATGGAGGAGATGTGGTACTATGACAAAATATATTAGGTATTTTTTTCTCTACTGGACTGAAGAGGCAACCACTACCTGAAAACTCTTTTCTATGATACTTGTAGACCACTATTAAGCAAGGTATACATAGACATTTGTTAGATGAACTAAGTAGACAGAGTATTTCAGTTCCTTAGAGTAAACCATAACTTTTGGACCTTACATAATCTGAACTAAATGTTCTCTCCATTGTCCTCACTTTATCACAGAGAAACAACCACTCTTTTTTGTACTTGTCTCTGAACCATTTTGTTACTATAGGAGTTTAAAGATTTGAGGACAAATGCAGTCATCTTTTTACAGCTGATCCATAACACATCAGATAATTCAGAAGTGTTGTGTAGGGAACGTAAATCAACACCAGAACTAGCCCTTCATCTAGTCCCTCATTAACACTCACAGAAAAACACAATCAGGTATTTAGTGGCAGTAACCACTGTAAGGAGTCAATCATCAATGGCCTCTACAACAGAAAAATCTCTAGACTAGCCCAGCTATTTATCATACTAATCTAAAGAAATATTGTGAGCTTTGGTATTACTTCAGTAAATTATGGCATTTCATCAGTAATGTCCTGCATAAGTGAATGAAGCACTCATTTAAAAAATAAACATTAGCATTCATAACAGAAATATGGACAAGAAAAGCTAAATAAAAACACAAATGAGAAAGTTAATTAAGCAAAATGATTCGATAAAAATTACATCAGACAATGTAAGCAAAGTCTAAGAAGTACTAATGAAATTTTAACTTCAGAGGCAATTTTTTTCTGTTCTCAAATTTTGGTACTTTACGATGATGGTATTCATAGTCCATTTTTTAAAAGAACCTTGAAATATTCTTCTGAAAAAACTCCAACATTCCTTGCCTTACAACAAGACAAATAAATAAATAACTGCAAACAAACAAACAAACAAACAGAAGACTGAAAATAGGACATTCTCGACACATGAAGTAAAAAGAGAAAGATAAGCTTTTCTAAAAGAAGCAATATTTTGGACTAACCCTATTAGTATCTTCCGTACAGTCTTCTCTTGATGAGCCAACAGATCTTGTGAGTGACTTATGCTGCACCTGTGGAGATAACAGTTGCAGGCTGTTTGCTCTGGCTGCCATCCCTTGCCCTACGCTTAAGCCACCCTCTGAGCCCTTTGACCTCACTCTGTCCCGGCTCACATACATAGAGTGTCTATGAGGGCGCTGCTGTGAAGAAAAAGGACTGGTATAACCTAGACCATAGGAAAAAGATTCGTGAGGAGCAGATAGAGAGTGGGAATGGCTTCCATCCATGTGATCTGGCAGTTTTAACTCCTCCATTGTTTTGGAGTGCCTTGTTGATGGTCTTCGGGTGTCCAGGGTGCCCTCACTGCGGTTATTCCTTCCAGACGGACTGAGCAAAGTTCTGTTATCACCGTGTCGGGGAGCAGTCGGACTGGTAGGAGAGTTCAAGTCCATACAGCTGGATGGAAAATACCTACTGGTGTTTGGTTCTGCAGCTTGGGCCCTGGCCTCAGAAAGGTTGCCCACGGATTTCGAGTCTGTCAGAACTCCATGGCTCTTTGACTTTGTCCGGTAGGAAGGACTCTTAGAAGACTGTGGGATGGTATCGATGTAGCTGTGGCGGCTGTGCTTGTCGCCGGGCTGCAGCGTCCCCGTTTTGCTTTGAGAGGTTTCCATAAATGAGTGCCGGTTCTGCTGAGATCTGGTGTTGGACTTGAGGTACTTTGTACCCGAACTGTCAGAACTTTTGGTGTCCACATTAAAATCAAATTCTGTTTTTCCCTTTGTGTCCTTTGGGCTGAGAAGGTGTGGCATGTTATTATTGGCTATATCCTTGTTGCCAGATCCAGGTGTGTTGCTTGGTTTTTTTGCATGCATTGGACTATGTGCAGGTCCAGGAAGGTTTCCATTTAAAAAGCTTTCATTTGCTGGAAGACCCTCTTCTCTTGGCCCGCCAGCCCCTAGTGTCTGCATATCCTTGCTGTTTGATCTGTGGTGTGACTGCAAAGCAGAACTTTTGCTGGCTTGATTTCTATATTAAAATGCATAAAGAAGCATTAATATACCAGATTACATATTCATGTATTAATAACTTCAAAAAAGTACACTCATTTCAGTTGCCATTTAAACCCACCAAATTTAACTGCAGTAAGATCAAATACTGACAACTGAGGTATCAGAAGCTCCACTAAAATCTGCAAGTGTTAGTATATTGTTGTTTCTGGTTATATTCTGATGGACAAACTCAGTTTTGGTTAATGGATTTTGCTGACGAAAAAAAGGAAGACATCAGATCTAATCACAGAAATTCCAACATATATTTACACATTTATGCGTGTATGTAAATACCAAATGTGCACATCACTAGGGTAAGCACTACCTTATTAAAATTAGCTGTATATCCATCTAAAAAGAATCTTAAGTACACCTGGTATATGAAAGGAAGGTAGAACAATAATGTATGTCATCACTATCAAAAACTCCTGATACAATCCAGGCTCCAGGCTACCTAATGTATTCCTGATCTGGAGGGGAGAGGTTATTCTGCTGGTAAAGACATAGAGATGGAGTGAGCCTGAGCTCACTGCAGCAGAGCAAGCTCTGTAGCACCAAACCCAAAACCTACCTAAGGAACCCCAATTTTTGTGGAATTTGGCACTATCCCAGTTCTTGGCTAACACTAACACTAACTCAACTCCAAAGCTGCACCTGAAATGCTCTGGAACCAAACTGACTTGGTGCAGAGCTACTTTGTGATGTCCTTAACCTCTGTTTTCCAGCTCTTTTGGTTTTGGGATTGCTGGACTGAGATATGAGTTGATTCTGCAAATGCTCAGCCTGAATTAATTTGAGCAGGATTTATTATCTCTGGTTTTTTGGTATTCTTCTGGACTTATGCTGGCACTGCAAACTAGCCATGACTGAGCAGTCCTGCAGATGGACTTGTTTGCCTTGATGGACCTGAGCAATTAACTTATTTCTGTAGCAAATCTATGACAAGGTAATTCAGATATATTACTGAGGGTTGAAGTGAGAACTCACTGTACCTTTGCTGATCCTTTTGATAATTATAATTGGATAAGGCTAGCCATTTTTATACCTAGGATTTTTGTGTCAACCACTTTCAGTGATCTAATTATGCATTCTATTACAGTTTCTAAAGCGTTAGCAATTTTAATGCCAGTTTAAAATACTTTTCAATTATCAGGAAGTGTATTTTCTAAAACTTTGAAGGTGTATTTTCTAAAACTTTAGAGATATAAGGAACCTAGTATTTTTAAATCATGCAGCTAGGCAAGCCTTTTAGACAACAAGTTTCCCACAGATCTAGGTTTTTCTTTCTGATGCCACATGTCAAATGGTAAAACTTCTATCCTAAATATCTGCCAGGGCAGCTAAAACTTTTTGAAGTATATCTCTGAAAAAGTAAATGATAAATGTCATCACCCCAAAATCTAAAATGAGGAGCAATTTTTTGAATTTCACAGAAAGACTTAGAAGAAAAATATGGCCAGGATTAAAAGCCACTAACATTCTGCATACTTCAGAGGGCAACCTTTGGGAAAGCTTTCGTCAGAGGAATACCATGAGGTTTTTTGTGCTGAAGAATTTTATCCACCAGTAAACCTGGTTCATTGGGATATTAAAATAGAGTGGCTTCTCTGAAGCTCTGTGGGTCCAACAAGGCAGCAACTGAACAAACACGTCCAGTTTTGAGTTCAAATAGACTAGACCTGATCAGTAACTGCAACTGCAGACAAAATTCTGTTCATCTCCCATTTGGAGCATGATCAATGCACACAACTTTCAGGACATTTAGCTGATAAAAATATGTGTGAATTTTGAACTTTTAAATATCAAAATCTTAGACAGATTTGTGCATATACAGCAATGGTAGGTTTCCAAAGAAAAGAGCATTCCTTTGGAATCTCGGGCATCTTCCAAACCACAAAATTCCTATTGTTGTTCAAGAAAAAGGCTAACATTTTTTTAAGGTGGGTAAGCAAACTTCTTTGTCATATGCAGAAATGGCTTCAACACAGGAAGTTAGCAAAAAATTTCAGCTTAAGTGGCTGTCAGCAAAACTGTGCCTCCTTCCTCTATTCAGTGAGGCACATGGAACAGTATGTGTGTCTCAATGTGTCCAAACTGTCAGACAACTACTTTTCTTGTAGATGATGTTGCAGGTAAGCATGACAACAACTCACTCACTGGCAGAGCACAAGTCAGTGAGAACAGTGCCAAGACTACACTTACCTGTTAGATAATGTGTTGCTGTCTGCATGGTAAGGTTTTCTCTTAGCTGACCGCGAAGGGGAACTTCCACAGCGATCCAAGAGTCTTTGGGTTTGAAATGAAGGATGGTTCAAACATTGTTCTGTCAAATATCTATCTGCTGGATCTAACTTCAGTAAGTTCTTTGAAAAACAAATCCCAAAGTTTAAAATGTTAGTATCTGTATTTGCATCAGCAAAAAATGTAATAAAATATAGAACATTATTGGGATGAGTTTCTGGGATTAGATAGAACTGCTACAAAAATTTCATGGTGCATTAAACTACATATGAAACAAAATAAACAATTACAAATCCTATATTCTACTTAAGAGATGAAAGGTCTCAGCCTTGCTAATTATGAGATATATATGCTATATATATATATACATACAGTTGATGATAGTAAAAATAAGCTTAAAATAAAAAGATAATTAAAATTTTAAAAATATGTTTTATGTATATATCTATACACATTTAAAATATACGTATTTTAAAAAGATTTTTCAGGATATACCTTACAACGTTGTTTTGAATTAAAAATATTAAATTTACCAGTAAAAAAATACTACAGGGAAACAGGCTTTACAAACAAACAGAATAAGCACATGAGAACATTTTTATACAAAAATAAACAGTATTTTAAAGTTAGTATTTTAAAAAATATACAGATGTAAGAGTTCTGGTTTCAGCTTCTGAGGTTCATTTCAAGTCCACCCATATTTTTACAGAGTTCTCTTAACTGTTTACAATGCGCTCACAATTACATTTGCTTTACAATTCTATTATATCTGTTGTGATTCTAAACAAGACACTTTTTGACATGTAGAAAATATTTAATCACAAAATTGAAAACAGTAGCTTGGGTATCATGGTAGAGTTGAAAAGGTTTCTTGCAGGAACAGAGCAATACAAAACTTACCTTGGAATATTCAAACATGCATGACTTGTCAGCAAAGTTAAAAGTTTGACTGGCTATTAAGTAAAAAGAATAGCTATTTTTAAAGAGTTATAGATGTTTAACAGAGAAGAACTCTATGTGTATATATGCATGTGCATACACACACAATGTATTTCTGTAGTATTAATGCAGTATTCAGGCACTCGATCGCAAACTGGTTTTCCCTTCACAGGATCCCTGCACTTCAAAATGGAAAACGCTCAGAAAAAAAAGCAAGTGACAAACTACATTTCTATGCAGTTTGGTCACACAGTAAGCATTATCTTCCTTTCCCAAGTTCACAAACTGTGTACTGAATGGTTAAATACTTCTTTCCCCTTTTTTTCTGGTGCTCATCACTACAGTGGCTCAAAACACAAGAAGGCCACATGTGAATTCTACATTCCTCCTCAGAAAAGAGGATGTCCAGAGGTTTCCTTTCAGGGCCTATGCACTAACTTACACAGCCTGGACAAGAAGCAAGAAGAACTGGGGTTCAAAGGGAATCCCAAGGCTGTGAACCTGCTCGGAATTGAAGAGAAATAGTGGGACAAGGCTCACGGCTGAGGCACAGTCACTGATGGTCACAACTGTTTTCAGAAGGAAGGGGGTGGTGAGGGAGAAGACTAACACTCCATACTGTGATGTTATGGTGGGAGTTTGCTACCAACCATGTATTGAAGAGCATGAAGAAGATGGAGAGGACAACTCTGTACAAAACCAAGCAAAAGTTCACGGGTTGGACTCGAAGATCTCAGAAGTCTTTTCCAATCTAATTGATTCAGTGAAAAGTCTCCTGATCAACTATCCAACTATTCAACTATCCAGACATCCAGACTGCATCCATGTTTCAGGAGGTTTCTAGACCATGTTGGTGGCAATATCCTAGTGCAGCTGCTTGAGGGGCAAATTAGCCGAGGACAGGACTTCAGTCTACTTGAGCTACTGCTCACCAACAGTAAAGTACTGGTGACAAATCTGATCAGAGAAGACACTCTAATTACAGTTAGGACTGAAATGAAAGGTAGGAAGCTAAACATCAGAGATAGGACCCAGGACTTCAGGGGAGCAAACTGCAGTTTCTATAAGGAATTACTGGGCAGAATCTCCTGAAAAACTGACATCAGTGGAAAGGTGTACAGGAGAGTAACTTGATTTTTACAAAAAATTTATTGAGTGTGCAGGAAAAGCACCCTATTGCAGATGACCACAAAATTTTTTATAGGTTCAGTCTGGCTGAACAGGATGTTTCTGAATGAACTAAAATGCAGAACAGGAGAATAGAGTCAAGGACAGGATACAAAGGAGGCTTTAAAAGCAGTGTGTTAGAACAAAAGTTAGGCCACCTCGGAAAGCCAAAGTCCAGCTGGAGTTAAGGCAAGTGCAGAACATCAAGGGTAAAAAGAAGGAGTTCTACAAGTATTCCAGTAGAAAACAGAAGCTCAGGGAAAATTCATGTCTGGTGTTGAATGGGAGAGACAAGTGAATGACAGATGACATGAAAAAGACGGAAGCATCTTTTTTTACCAAGTCATCACATGCAAAATCAGTTCCCAACTCCCTAATGCATGCTTGCAAACCAGCATGATTTGTGAAGGAGAGCAGAGGACCAGAGCAACAAAGCAATGAGGTCAAAGAGATGCCTCTTCATTAATCTAGTCCAGAAAGGCTCTCTAAATAGATATATTAATAACTGACTCCTTTAGCTGGCATAAGTTGAAGTGTGGGTTATTCAGTAATCTAGTAATCATACCTGAGGTCCCTGGAAGGCAGATAATGAGGAACTCAAGTGTGGACACGTGTCAGAGTGCCCATTTTCTGCAGAAGAGACAGGCATACAACGAAGTCTCTACAGCATTTATAGCATGCAGCTTAACCACAAGTCTCCTTTGTTCTCTTCTTGTAGTTTGCTCATTGTTTAACAAGGTTCCAACTCCTGAATTAAGTAATGTAGGTCAAACACAAAATATCTCTTCTGCAGAATTCCTGACCTTTCTCACCTCGCAGGGAGAAACACGGACAGAAAAGCTGAAAAGAATGAAATTATTTGGAAACCTGCATTTTCCTAAAATTCAAGTGCTTCATTTCACAACTTTGTGGCTTTCAAATCAAGTCAAAAGAACCTAAATGACATTGATAAAATGAGGGTAAAATTGAAATAATTAATCTTGAAATTGGCATTTTGCAATATATGCTACCAGAGTTTGACCTGCAGCTAACTATGAAGCCAGAAAAAAAAGTTTCTGTGAATTAGAAAATAGAGGAGAAAGTATAACACTAAAATGAGCAACTATATGCACCAAGGTATCTAATTTTGCAGACTCCATGAAACCAAGACAAAAGCTATGCTGACTCTCTTCATAAGGCAGGGAGATTTAATACAAGTGATTTGAACTGGTTGTGTGGATGAAAAGAGTAAATTTGGTGATTTCTGCTGGCTATACAGCAGTATAACAATACTGCTAAAAGCAAGTAAACACCCTAGTATATCTCAAAGCTGATCTCTGTTTTCCAAGACAACTGGTGCAGTTGGTCTTGGGACCATAAAATTAATTTAGAGTTGATTAGCCATATCCACACTTCCTATTTGTCCCATATTGCCTTTACCTCTTAAGTGGTGTTGTGATTCTAAACCAAATTTTTGACACTATGACCTTTTTTTTTTTTTTTTTTCAGTTTACTGGGAAGAAATAATGTGAGGGTTGTACAGCAGCTTACCATGGTAATGTTTTTATAGTACAGTAGTAAAGACAACAATACATGTTTCATACCAGTAATACAGCAAAAATGCATAGCACAGCGCTTTACGATGTTTGGTCATTTTTGGGGGAACTAGCTTCTCCTGATTCCATATAAGATAATATCTTAGGACCATATCCTAGTTGGGCCATGCTAACTTCTTCCAAATCAGGGCTGAAGAGTAACCTAACATTACACACTGTATAGAGGTGAGTGACAGGAAGCAGATTAAGGGTTTGGGTAAAAACCCCAAACTGGGTTTGTGTCAACTTTGACAACTGTTCACATCCTCATGCTTACCCAACAACGAATGAACAACTCAGATTGGCCTAATACTCTGTGGATTTATCTAAATAAACAGTGGGTTGAGAGTTTCTACTCCATTATTACCATGGCAGCCGGTGCATCTGAATGTATGTTGGTATGAACACGCAGTGCTGCAAAGGATGGAGATGCTTTTGTCTGGATTATGTATGGTTTATCAAATCAGTCACATTTGAACAGACCCTCCCAGCATTTGCAAGGGATATTTTCCTGATTCCTGGAAAATACCAGATCTTACTAGAAACTACAAACAATGGTGATACCAAAATATCACAAAAGAAAGTTCATGGGTACTTTTAAGATATATTATATTAGAAAACAAAGGTCAAAAGCCACTTAACATCTTTTCCTACATATTACAGACAAAATAAAAGACATTTTCCTACCTTCATTAGGTCAAGCAATACACCACTTAAAATTCCCAAGTATCTTCTCTCTAAAGACTGTGGATGATTGACTGCTGGAAACTGTAAAAAATACAGGGTAAATATACTGATAATATAAACAAGATATAAACAAAAAAGAAGTTTCAAAAATAGAAACTACACAGTAAATCAAGGCATATAATTAATGGGAAACAAGCACTGAAAAAGTTAGGGGTTTATGAAACATCATAAAATGCTGTAATGAAACAAGTAACTGTTGATGTAGGGTAAGCATCTAGTCAGCCAAAGAAAGTATTCTTGATTATTAGGGCAGCCAAGAAACCTCCTCAAGTGAGAAGTAATCAACTTAGATTTTTTGTGGCATTATGATTGACAAGAGGTAGGAGGTTTAAAATAGATTCAGAACTAACATAAGTAACCTATATTTAAAAGAAAAAAAAAGAAGATTAAAAATAGCTTTGAAAGAATTTGAGAGTGCAAATACAGTACTAGTTAAATACCAAAGATTAACAAACAATTCCAAAATGTTTTTAGTGAAAAATGCTGAAACCTCAAAGGTTTAAGGTTCAGGATTACTGCTGTGGTCATGCTGCAGTAAGATCTGGGAAGACCATGAGAAGTGCACACTACTGGGGTCACCCATTATTTGTACTAGCATTACTTTTCATAAATTACCTTACATGAACTTCAAAGGAAACTGAAAGAACATCAGTTTGAATGTGTTTGTTCCTAAATAGTCTCTGTATTTTCCTTTTTACTTCACTTTATTTTTAAGAGGTTTACTAATAATTGGGAATCTTTTTAAGTCCAAGTCTGCTATGTTGATCTCACATAGTAACTTAGGTAAACTAAGGCTTCCATGTTTCTTCCAGTTTTTACATGAACCAAATGGCAAAATGTTCTTGTCTTCATGTAGAATGACAATCACAGAGATTTTATATCTAGAATGATCAGGGAAACATGAAAATGCGTTGAAGTCGTTCAAGGCAATAGTCAATATTCACTGGAATTGTTCAGATTCTTCATATAACTTTTTTATGGAATAATATTTACAGCCCTACATTGTCACTCACATTTTCCACAGAGGCATGAGCCTACTGGTACTTTCTGATCCCATATTATTTTATTTCCTTGGGCCTTCAACATACCATGGGTGTTTGCCTCCTCAAAAGAATTGAAGAGATATCACTAAATACTCTCTAAACCTCAAGAGAAAGGAAAACCATGTTTTTTGTGAGTGTATACGGATATATATGTATATATGGAGGATATGGGCAGGAAGAAAGGACAGAAAGTTCACAAATGTGCATCTGTATACATGTGCATGTGGTGCTGGAGTGTTTGCATTTGACTTTTTTTAATCTTGTGTTACAATATGCTAGTACTCACAGTTACAGGAATGTAGAAATTCACTAGCTCTAAGCATATGGATAAAAAATTCCTCATCATGGGCTAGTTTCCATCTTGTGAATACCCAGCACCAGATCCAGCTTGTAAATAGTAACTGGTTTGATCACAGCATACCTTCTATCTGCTATGCAACAGAAAATCTTTCACTACTAAGTTATGCTACAGTCAGAAAAAATGTACTTTTAAGGTTGTCTTATAACATGGCACAATTTTTCCCATGAATTAACTAATAAGTATCATATTTCAAACCAATATTTTTGTTGCATTTTTGAAGTTAAAGCCATTATTCAGACTTTATTTCAGTATTCAAAAACTGCTCTCTGTGAGAGGCCATATGTCACTGTCATCATCACTTGCAGCCTGACTTTACAAAGAGGCTAAGAAGGCAGCAATATGTTTGAGGCCAAGTATTGCTTTCCTGATAAGGGGTTATAAGTTTTTTAAACAGAAAACCCCATCCAGCCCACTGTTCCAAAAAGGTTGAAATACAAATAGGACCTTGCAAGAAATGCTTGTCTAATAATTTTTTTTTTTAAATCCTCGACTGAAGGTCTACAAACTCAACAAAAACTCTTCAGAATTAGTTATCCTTGTACCTAAAATAATTACCTTAACAACTTAAGCCAATTATTTCCTATCATCCTCAGCTAAACCAAATTTAAGGCAACTTCTAATATGTTTTAACACTAGTAGATCCCCACTCACTCCCTTTCACATTCTCACATTTTCTCTGTTTCAGAGTAAAACTCAAATGTTGAGTCTTCAGGTCTCCTGAAACCTTTGTATGTCTCTTTGTATGACTTACACTAATGATTTCAGAACATTTATCACAATTATAAACTCACCTTTCCAAACAACTTTTATTAATAAAAAATGACAACCAAAACTGGATACAAGGAAACATGAGTACAATCACTGACCAAGTATTGCTAAAAATAGCAGAGCTATTACTTATTTATTGATTCTGGTATTTCTCCATATTACACATCCCAACTTCAGTAGATTCTTCATACTAATGAGCTTCTGTCATTACATTATATGGGCAAACCCCTGAAAAGAACAATGCTGTCAGTAGGAATAGCTTTTTTACTTAATGTGGCCTTCATCAACTCCCCAGGAATATAAGTCAAAAGGTAGAAAGCTCTTCTGCCATGATATTAACATCTATAGCTCAGATTTTTCCAATGGAGTAGCCTGAAGACAGCAGTCATCAGTTTTCCATAATTTGACCTGACAGAGCTTTGCCACTAAACTTTACCATGTAAACCTGTCAGGGCAACGTTAAACTGGATATGAGAGGTAAATTTCATGACAAACATGTCAAAGAAATGAGAGAAAAATCTTAAATCAACTTTTAACAGGAAAACAAGCATATTTATAAAACTCAATATACTGGTGTCATCAGAATTTTATTTTGACTTATGAATGCCTTACGATCTGTATATCCCATAATGGCCAGTCTTTGTGAACGAAGAACCGGGGAAGGTCTTTCCACCTTCCAGCCTGCGCATTGGATTTTTTAGGTGAGACACAGTGTGCGCGGAACTGAGCCCACCCTTTAATCCCGAGGTTCATCTGCCGGGGCCAAGCGAGCTTGGACGGTGGCAGCGAGGTCCTCAGGACGTAGATGGATTGCCTTACAGGGCTAACGAGCTCCATCTGCCCGGGGAGTGTCCTGACCGGGAATCGAACCCAGGCCTCGGCGTTGACAGCACCGCGCCTTAACCACTTGACCACCAGGGGCTCCCATACTTATAGAGAAATAGATGCAATAGATAATGAACAGCGTAAATGAAAAGAACCTTCACAGCAGCAACAACAACAATACGGTAAATATTGCACGAGTAAACAAAAAAAGCAAGAAAAAAGAACAAAGCTTTCCCTTACCCGCAGGCCATGGAAGCGTGGGTTGCTATAGAAGAGCTTCATCTGCTCAGCTGGCAGCGGGCCCAGCACCTTCTGAATGGTAAAGAGCTGGTCAATCTCACTCTCACCAGGAAACAAGGGCTGCCCGTCACTCAGCTCTCCCAGGATACAGCCTACAGACCACATATCCACAGCCTTTCCATAAGGGGCTCTGTAAAGTGAATGTACAATGTTTTTCACCCATTGACATTGAATTCTTACTGAGCTGTTTCAATTTATTGGCCATATTTCCCAAGGCCCACTTCCTTAAAACACAGGAAAACAAAGTCTGATATTAAAGAAACTACCTCACATACCAAGCTCTCTGTTTCTTCCCTGGATTTCCTGATGTCTCTATCGCTGCTTGAAAAGGCAGGAGAGGAATTTTCAAGTGCCCCCAGGGATCTGATTCTTTGTGAAAAATCTTACGTACAAGAGTAATCTTTTTGATTGCGAAGCAGTTACCACTCCCAGCTAAACTACTTCTAACTTCCCTTTTCTCCAGGGCCAATTCCTGTGCTCTGTTCCTTCATTACATTTCTTTTTCCACTGTGCTTAGATGGGTAGGCATATTGGGTCTGGCCACTGGGAGAACAGAAATGATAAGAAATATCTGTTCCACCATTCACACAGTGAAATTTTAATTAGAAAGAAAACTGAATTCTTCTGAAAACCATTCCTTAAAAAACACAAGCAAGGAAGCAATGACAGCAGAAAGTAAATAATTCCTGCTTTGGAGCAAAGCCATGGGTGGGGTTATGGGGAAAACTCCTTTTCTGTACACCAGAGTGTTATTTAATTGTAAAAAAATTTTTTAAACATCTGAATTACTCCAAGAATCTCTTTTGGATGTTTTGAATGAATGACTGGAGAATTCTTTTCACGTCAAAGAAAAAGCATATAAAAATAATAAAGGCTGGAACAAAGACTGAACAGAAAACATATTTCACTGAGTCTCTTCTTTTTGAAACTTGTAATCCAATAACTCAACCTCTGTTTCAAGAGATTTAAGTTACAGCTGGCTTGCCTATTTCCGGAATAAGACAGCACCAGGAGCCGCAGGTGACAAATCCTATCCTAAATCTGTCCTCTTCACTCCTTCCTTATGTTGATGATTACAGATGTTGAGAGAAAGAACATGCTCAAACTACAGAAAAAATATCTGACTTTTCCCCACTGATTACTCAGATTTACTTAGCTTGTGGGACGAACACTTGGGCAGAGGAACCTGTAAACCCTTGATTTAATTAGGTGAAGGTGAGAAGGCAATTGTAGCTGGACTACAGCCCGAGAGAGACTACAGGCCCACTGAGATGACTAGTGCAGGAATCTATGGTAACTGGGAAAGCTGAAGCAGGATAGGACACCAAAATTTAAAAAACTGCTTGCCTTTGAGAATCTGACATGAGACATCACAACCAAAGTTTGTCCTGTTGGAATTGACTTCTGACAGGGAACCACCACTGGCTACCTGTGGACTGACTCAGTTTTTGACCTTTCTAGGATGCTGCTAGTCCAACCCACCCATTAGGTCAGAGTGCCAAGGAAGGCCTCGTTTTTTCCCTCACTGCAAAAGGCAACACAAGTGAGAATGGACTCCAAAGCCAAGAATCTGCTCTTTAAGATGCTATGTGCCTGTATTAGAAAAGTGAGGCTCTGTGAGCAAAAGTTTGTGAGATTGCAGTTAAAAATCCTGCCCTTTTATTATGACAGAAAATCAAGCACATCTTTGTTTACAACTCCCTTTTAATATGCAGTTTCCTCCACTGAAATGTGAAATGGGGAAAAGGCTGCTGTAGGCTGGGGTATTGGAGAACAAGCTAGGGTTCCAACTGAGGAATGGGCTAAAACTCCTTCGAGGTATGGACCATTACCCTTCCTTGCTCTCAGGAATAAAAAAAGCTGGATCACAGTTAGGAACTTTTCACTGTTTACTCTGTAGTCAAACAGAAACAAAACAGAAAATACCCATTTCTTAAGGCAGTGTAAACTGCAGTGTTATTGTTTGGAAAGGCATGCTCAAGAATCCTGCTGGCTGCCAGGATCAGTCTCATCAGATCACAAGAGAAAAAAAAAAATGCAAAAGTCATATGGCTGGATTAATGAAATAACGCCTATAGGACAGACAGACCATAAATCAGAAGTATTATAGTCTACGCCTGCACATACTACATTCTTCAAAACATGTTTGCATCTAGTAATTTAGTATGTTTTAAAATCTACTGGCTTTTAGCAATATTTTGTCACCAAAGAGTACAGAGTACTCCACCAGTAGCTAGTTACCTGAGGCTCTCCAAAGTGAGTAGATTTTAGATGTTCTGTGAATAATTAGGTAGCAATTTCTTTCCTCCCCTGAAATTTAAGTCTGGAACCTTAATGCTAAACAGAAACCACTCTGGGACACATTTTAAAATATATTTAATAAGCCTGAGAAGAATTTTAATTTTAGATGCTTATAAAGATTTGGTAAATGCAAGGAAAGGGGGAATGGGAAAGATCAGTCCCTGGGAAATAGAACAGGTTTGCCAAGAAATAAGCATCACTTTTTGCCAGAAAAACTTGGTATTAAAAATATACACCAGCAAAGCTGAAGCATTAAATACACAAATCCCCTCACTTTCTCTACCAGTTAATCAAACAGATTTAGTCAACTACAAACAGACACGATTCCTGCTAAATTTCCTTTGGTAACAAAACAGTTTTGAAAATTGCAGGTCAGACTGATACTATATCTGTCAAACTTTTCATGTCTTTCCTCCTAAATCCTCATAACTACGAGAGAGAGAGAGCAAAATATTATGTACCTTAAAAGGCCACAATTGATGCTTTCAAGTCTTTTTTTATACATACACATGCACTTTGCTGGAAGCTTAACTGTTTTCTCCAAGATATGAAAAATTGAGCTTTGAGGTTTTTAATGGCAACTTTAACATAGTATTCTGCACATAAGAATGCAACTGCCTAACAACTTGATTAAGATTAGTACAGCTCTGGGAATACTGGGATGACTTTGTTGACAGAATAATTATTACTTAATGCCTTACCCGTTCAAAAAACATCTAGTTCAGCGTTAATCAAAGCTTCCAACAAAAACTTGTTGCCCAGCAGCATGAAACATTGTGTTTAAAGATTCTTAGGAGTGACCAATACTTTCTTGATTCATTCTGTGGCTTCCAATTCCTTATTTTAAGAATATGGGTATATAAATACCTATCACTATACATTGGAATTGTATTCTATGAAAGCATTCATGTAAGTTAGATTAATGCCCTGTTGAACTCGATAGTAATGGGAAGATCACATATAGTAGATCTCCAGTTATTTTTTTACTCTTCCTTTGTCCTTTTGGGTCCTATGAATTTGCTCATTTATTACCTGAAAATCTGTTTTATCTTGCAGGGTAACGATACACTCATTTTACAGATTAATAAAGGAGTAAAACTAAATTGTCTGGCTGAGGCTACTCACGTAGCTACTACTTTTGCAGGCAATACAATGCTAACTTCTCAGTGCTTTATTGAAATGATTCTTACAGCCTCCTTCAATAAATTCTTCCTGACTAGTAAAAAGCTAGCACCAGCCTTTTGAGTGACTTCAGCAGTGCTGGCAAAGTGTAACTGGGAATGAAAACCAAATCATAGAATCCCAGAATGGTTTGGGTAAGAGAGGACCTTTGAAGATCATCTCATTCCAACACCCCCGACATGGGCAGGGACACCTTCCACTAGACCAGGTTGCTCCAAGCCCCAATCAACCTGGTCTTGAAGCCTTCCAGGGATGGGGCATCCACAGCTTCTTTGGGCAACCTGTTCCAGGGCCTTATCACCTTCTGAGCAAAAAAAGTCTTCCTAAAACACTCTTTACCCAAAAGATGAAGATAACTACAAGTGTCACATTGTGAAAGCTGCACTGCCGTTGCCATGTGGTGTCCACTATAAGACTGATGAAACATTTCAGGCTACAGGACAACCATGGAAGCCTTTTCTGAAGGAAATGGGGGAGGGGGTGTAGGAAATGGAAGTACATCTGTTTGAATTCAGCTTAATATTTTAATCAGTTAAACACTGCTCAGCTCAAGTCAGGTCATACTGACTTACTGAAAATGAACAAAAATTAATGAAAATCTAGAGGCCTCTTGAAATCTTGCCTGTAAATAAACCACAGTTCTCCACAGCTGAAGCTTACAAAAAGTGCTTGAAAAACTGTAAAGAATCAGTCAAAATTTATCATGGCAGTTCTACAAACTGTACTTACCCAAGCAAGAGTTCAGGTGAGCGGTACCATCTGGTAGCCACGTATTCTGTATAGTTAGCATTGCTGCCTTCAGAGAGGTTACGAGCAAAGCCTGTCAGAGAAACAGTACGAAATATCATCTCCCATTTTAAATACAATATGCACATCACTACTGATTTTGGTAGTAAAAAGTCACATCTATTTATATAGAAGCAAACTGTTTACAACTCTTGCTGCAAAATGATCTCTCTAACAAGTGTTTGTCTACTGAAATGCAAGCTTTTATTGATGCAGCAGTGAAAGTCAGCACGTCTGCTTTAATGACGACCTTACTTGTGTACTTCCTCACTAGTCTGTGGGGTTTTGCTATTATTTTTGGTGATTTATATAATCCAAACAGATAGACAAAAGCTACCTGTCATTATGCCATGTAAATTATTGAACTGTTACCTCTACTGAGATACTTGGAGAAGAGGATTCATAACATTAGAAACAACACACATGCGGGTGGAGTAGACTCCTCTGTTCATTGATTCTCTTTACTAGTCTCACTACATTCAATTTTTTAAACTTGTCAAAAAATTATGTATTATTCTTATTTAAGGACACTTCCCCCGGACCTGGCAAAGAAAAGAGTCATCTCCTCAAAATTATAAAATGCAGGAATGTACCAAAGATCAACAAAACTGTTTATATCTGCATTTGGCTCACTCCACACATTTTGGCTTCCCACCTGCTTTAGCACCATAATCACAGCAATTCTTCATGAATTAGGATCAGAAAGCAAGTCCAAATTAAACTCTTTCTCCACATCCTTTTGTTAATAATAAAAAAAAAATTAGGAAGTTATATTTATGTGCAATTGTACCAAAACTTCACTACTGTCCAAAGGCATAACGATTATCACCACTAGCTGAGAGAAGAGTACTGAATATATATATATATAGACACACACACAGAGGAAAATACAGATGTAGGAATAATTTAGACTTTTGTTTTCATTCTCCTCCATTTATAAAATGTCAGCCAAACACCACAGTAATTTTGTTACTGTATTGTTCATGCAGAAGTAGCCTAGGGCAGATTTTTGTCACTGTTTTCAAAAGGTATCAAGGTTCCTACTGTTTTCAAACAAATAATTAACAACAAGGCGAGATAAGACTGACAGATCTCAGCAGCAAGATTTCACATGTGTAGACTCCTTACTAGAGCTGAAGACAAACTTTTGGGACTGAAATGCAGAAACAGCATTTCAAAATGCTTTATTATGGGGATATGGCATTAAAACCCAGTCAAAATTCACTTCATTGAGATCACTATAAGTCTTTCCATTATAGCATGAGCAATGAAGAAAGCATAAAATTCCAAAGTGTCACAGAAGTACAATGTACAACCTTATTTTCTGAATCAATTAGTGCTACTTAAATGCAATAGTCATTTTCTGTTACGAGTTCTTTTGCAGAAGCTGCCAAAATTGCCTTTCCCAAACAACTATACTTGTAAAGTTCTAATTTTTTTTTTTAAAGTGTTCTGAAAGTGTATCTTGTTTGGCAGTTTAGTGTGAAGAAGCCCAGTTCCACTCACCCCTGTGGAACACCAATTTACTCCAAGTTGAAGTAACAATTTGGATGCAGATTATTATTACTATTAGTGATTATAGAAAACAAATATAAATTTGTTAATTACACAGTTTACAGCTGTTACTTTTTGCAATATACCTTTAAGTTCAAGAGTTAATAAACTAAAAGGCATGTATGATGAGGAACCAATAGTTCAAAGTTGTTTCAAAATAATATTCAAATATTCATTTCTCTTCCCATAAAGTCTAATGAACCTTACTGATGCTGCTCGAGAAAAGCTGGGAAGGAATTTTTTATTACTTGCAACATGGGGATTGAGTAAATTTGGAAACATTACTATATTTAGAACTGCATAGGCAGCCCTGTTTCTGTTTCAAATTACATGAGCTAGCTGATTAATCTTGCCAGTGAAAAATCTTCATTCACGTGTTTAAACAACAGAGAGAAGATAACCAGGAGCTACTCAGAAGAAATGGGACAGCCAAAATGTGGGAAGCCCCAGACTGAAGGGAGGAGGGGGAAGAAAGAGAAAAAAGTGTCACATGATAAAAGTAAACATGTGCTAATGTAACACATGAGCTTGGCAGCACATGAGCACTTGTGCACAGGAAGAATCAACAGGTCAAGGCTGCATCCTCCTCCCTACGGGGCAGTCTATTGGAACTTGGTCACAGTCAGGAGCTAACATAGTCTGAAAAATCAGCCCCAAGCTTTACAGGCTGGATGCAGCATGGATTTGATGTGGCAAGACAGAAAGTAAAATTATCATAATGGACTTCAGTGTTATCTCTATATTGTTGGGTGATATAAGAAACCATTTTATAGATTCAATACTGCTCTGACTCTATGACACAGTGCAGAATGATGATGGACAGACCTAACAACTCAGGAAAGCATATTACCTTTCTAAAGGAACAATTACTTTTTTTTTTTTTGGTTATGATGGGAGTTTGCTTATTGTTCCTTTCTCCAAATTGTGCCGAGATATATAAAAGTAAGAGAAGGAAACAAGGGAGAAGATTAGACCAAACTCTAACTGGTGAGAAGGAATAGATTAGAAGATGAGGACAGAAGGCAATTTGGGTGAGAGTGACTATGGAAACAATAGCATTTCTAAATGCATCATGATGCAAAAAGAAATAACAAGCAAAATCAGAAATTTCAAGAAAGGACTTGAAACAACTCAGAACATGGTAGGAGAGATGACAAGGAAAAATGTATAAGGAAGAAAGGAGGAGATTGTCAGTTTCTTACAGAGAAATAAGGCACATTTCAGTTAGACATAAGGTAAAGCATTCTAATGTTAATGACATGTAAGTACTTTAAGAGATGCCTAAGAACACTAGGGAACCTCCATTATTCAGAATTTTAAGAATAAGCTAAGCAAACACCTGTCAAGAATGACAAAGACATTCTTAATCCTTTCTCTGAGTAGGTGGAAGAACTAGAGGATTTCTTGAGGTCTTTTCCAGTCCTGTGTTTCATGATTTCTATGCTTACACATCATACTGAGATTAAGAGATTGCTAAAACAAGTAATTTTGAAGCCCTGGTGTTGAAACAGCAAACACACCAGTCAGAAAACCGAAGTACTCCCAACAGTCAGATGCATCTGCTGTAGTCGGCACTTCGTACTGTTCCCTTCTTCCACTTCTACTGGCAGAAATGACACCCACACAACATGTGTCCGGGTAAGCACAACATTCAATCGCAATTTTATCTAGCACGCTATGTACAGAACACATGGCACAAGGATTAAGAAGAACTATCTCGTTAAAGATTTATGAACTTTTCTATTCAAACTGTTTTTCTCCACTGGGCTATTGGAAATGGATGCATAGTCCTTTTCTTTACATTTGTAATCACATGAGGAAAGTGACAGTGTATGCGACAAGTACCTGTGTTCCAAAATATGAGTTAAGTTAGGTAGTCAGACAGCATGTGTTAAATCATGTTAAAATGCAAATTTTTACATCCTAATCTGTGCATGTTTAGGAAACATCTGTGGCTAACACCATTCTGACATGGCTTAAATTACTAGCAATAATGCCAATTAGCAATAATGATAGAAACTTAAAACTGATCCCGTATTATAAGAGTTGCTCGGAATTTTAAATTCAACTAAATCTGAAAGGTTGATTTAAATTAAAACTAACCCACATGAACAGTAAGAACAACAGAAATTCTCTTAGTTTGCCTTCCTTGATACTCTGCTGATCGCTCTGAGTACATTGTGATTGCGTGTCCTTTCCAACAGCACAGAGAGAACATGGCTGGAGCACACAGCGTGAGCAAGCCAACAGACCACACAGAACATCACTGCCAGCAGAATTCACATCAGCTACATCTAGTGCCAAAACAGACATCCAAAACATGATCGTACCATTTGTCCGGCTTTCTCTATTCCTGCAATACCGCTGCACAGAGGATGTTGAAACGAGTCCACATGCAAAGATTTGTTAGGTGATGGCGTATGACAACTCTAATGGTGTTACTTTCAAGGGGGGACATCCCCACTCCAGAAAAAATGAGGGAGGGAGGGCAAGGGCCAGGGAAGCATGTGTGGGGCGAACTGTTCCCATCAAGACACACTCATGCCCACATTGGCTGCCTGTGATGAAGTTAGCCCAGATTGGAGCAGGCATTGTTCAGGGACAGGCACTGCCCATGTGCTGGTTGTTGAGCCCCACACAAGGCAGCGGTTTGGTCCCTTAACCACCCAAAACCAGTGCGGAGGGTGAAGTGGTGGAGAGGGAGCAAAGTGTAATCTACAGAAGACTTCACTCCTTGGAGAGGCCTGGCCCTGCCAGCCTCATGGGGTTTGCTTGGCAGGGGCAAGGCCTTGATAACTGGTGTTGAATGAGGGAACAATCCTGCCCCACCAGGTCTGGGCTTCGGGCAATGGTGCCAGGGCAGGCACAGCAGTGCAGACAGGAGACCTGTGGATACTGAAAATGTACTGAGGGCACCACACAACAGTACCCCGGTGTTCTGTTAGAGCTGTGCAGTTCCTTACACTGGAGAATAAATGGCTCTGAATTCAAAGAATTCTTATGGACCACATCTCCTAAGGTTTTTCCCAGAACAGTTATTGTTTCTGAATGCTTAAGCAAAAATGCTTTGAGGATTAAATGAAATAAGAAGCATTGCAAATGAAAAATGCCTTTCTTGTGTTCCTAAAAACCTATTCCATTCTATTTTGTTAGCAGTTCTTCTTTTCATTCAAAATTGCAGAGGTTTGAAATGACAGCTTTTAAACTGTTCTCACTGAGAAGTGCCTTTGGGGTAACACTATGGAATTGGTTTTTATTTACCAAGCAAAACTGTAAGCTTTTCAGAGGGAACAATATTTTATTCTGTGTTTATGTAGCATTCCGAATAAAAATACAGATTGTTGGAACAGTGTGCACTCTTCCCTGTTGTCTTCTGTGAATTACTCACATGGCCAAAATTTGCTTTGTACTGGGGTGACAATGCTTCAAAGCCTTAAAGTTGACATTAAACAGGCACTGGTATGTCAGGAAACATCAGAGTTAACATAACATGTACAGCTCTGACTCTAACATCCCGTCATTCAGTCATTAAGCATATGTGGATATCTGATTCCTTAATTAGATAACAAAAAAAGTTGACCTATAATGACACATATGGCAGCCCACAAAAGCCAGTGATTCAAAAAATACAAAAAAAAGTATAAATCTGTTGTGTCTTTACTAAACATCAATGAAGAATTTATCTTTTCTTCCAATACACAAGCCAGATAAGCCCACAGATTTGCTAGCCTCCTAATCAGCTTATCATCTGCACTGTTCTCAGCAGTGTCAGTAGCAGCACTACCAAAAACCTTGTTTAATAGAGGAAGAGAGAAACACAGTGCTTCTAATGACATGTTAACACAGGTATTTCACAGGGTATGCAAATTAAGCCCAGAGATCAGTAATCAATTCTGTACAGTAATCAATTCTGTTAAAAGGTTTTTAAACAACACATACTGTAGAACTCTTACATAATAAGGCAAAACTCCATTGCAAGAGATTTTCTTTAAAAAGGTGGGCAGCAGGTATCTATCTATTGAACTTACCAAAGTCACACAACTTCAGAACATCATTGTGGCTTATTAAGAGATTCTCTGGCTTGATATCTGAAGTATCAGAGTAGATGAGAAAAAAAAGAAGCGCTGTTAATTTCCCTTTAATTTTGAACTTTGTCAACAAATATTATTTCATTATAATGTATTTAGAGAGATTCACGCAATCATAAATGAAGCATTACAAGAGCAACTGCTGAAACAGCTTCCAGCAATTCAGTTGTGAACAGGCAGAATTAATTTTCTGCCTTTTGAAGTCTTTTTAAGTGTTTCCCAACAAAATATGAGCAGATAAAATGTGCTTACAGATATTCCTGGGCAGCAAACCAATATGCATAATATTGCATATTACAAAATAATATAAAGAACTGATATTTAATTACCCAGTTAACCAATAAAATGTTGTGTGTTGTGCTCAGCATTTTCAGCGATAATGACCATCTTGATCATCTCTTGTAATGTGTTTAGAAAAAACGTCTTGTCTAGTTTTAAGCCCTTTTTTTCATTCCTATATGGATATTGCTGTACACATACATGGTATATTTTCCAAACTATATCTTACAAAATATTTTCAGACTCTTGCTTATGTTTGACTGGTCTTAAATACAAAAAGCATATTGTATAAGAATGTTAATTTATTGGAAACAGTAATTAGAAATGTTACTCTTGCAAAGCCACAAAGCAAAATACAATTTTATTAAATCAGGATAAAAGACATAAAACTAGATAAAGTCATACATCAAGATATGTACTTTAAGTGCTTGAAGTTCAGGGGAGCTGTGAGGATCTGCCTTAAGAAGTAAAACATGGGGGACAAAGTTTTAAGTTTTGGATTATTTTTCTCCTAGTATTCTATTATCAGATTCAAAAGTGAAATGACTGACCACCATGAAAGGTTTAAAAAATTCCTTTTCCTTAGACAATGTTTATACTTCAGTTTCACTTCACTGTGCATATGATACAACTTTTACATCATGCTCCAAAGAGAGTGGACAGCAAGTTTTATATGTAGAAGAATTTAGCTTTAAAATTATCTGAAGTCACCCAGTAGATTTAAAATCCAGCCCAATTGATAATTTTCTTTCCTGTTGATATAAAGCAATTGCTTCTATTTATGTTAAACACAAATTACTTCAAGCGGTAACATCTTCCCCTGTAAAAAGCAAATTCTTACGGGGGGTTTATTTCCATGTGGAGAGCTACACACTTACCTCTATGAACAATATCATTCTTATGGCACCAATGAATTGCTTTAATTAGCTGGTAGATGTAGCTTTTCACTTTTTCTGGTGGAACTCCATTTGGCATTTCTTCTAGCAATTCAAGCATATTCTAAACATTTAAAAGACACATTATTTAAAAGAGCTACACTCTAGTTCCTGGAAGATAACATGCATTTAGCCTTCTGAAGCAACATACTTAGGTTACAGAGCCTAGTTATGGAAAATCAGTAGTTTAACATTCAAGGAGTGTAATCATAAGCATATTCCTACCTGTTTCATAATCCTTAAAGGTGAACCACAAATAAACCACAAATTCTTAAAAGACTGTCATCAAACCGGTTACCCTAAAACATCTATAATGTCACTTAGTTACAAAACATTGCTTTAAGAGAAACACCAGGTCAGTCTGGCTGTAGGAAAAGTTTAGCATTTTGTAAGTACACAACAGTGCTTTAACAAACTATTTTCTTCATTCTTTAGCTCTGCTGCTCAGACATTGCTCGGCCATGATTAATCACACACTGTGACTGTATATGAATGATTATAAAGTTTGTTAATGGAAATGAAGTAACAGATATAAAAATGCCTCACAGGGGCATAAAGAGTGACCTAGGGATGTCCTATAGCTATAGACATCCTAGACATATTGGCACTACAATAACTACAGCCATATCAACTGTTTTATGGAAACAGTTACCTAGGAAAGAAAATTAACTTACTGTTTATACTGGTAAATTTCCTCATTGTCAAAGAACATTTAGATTTCCATTATGTCAGCAAATGTCTCTAATTTCACACAATTAGAAGTACAATGGAGTTTGTAACACTGAATGAATAATAGCAGCAGCACACTTGAAGAGAGAAAAGTCTTATTTATTGAACACTGAAATAGAAGTGTTTTGGCTATATTGTCTTACACAACTCATTTAACTATGGATTTGAGCATTTGTAGATTTTTCATTTAAAATAAATTTACCTTGTCTTTGATAAGCATTTTCTTTAGCTGTCTAGAAATATTTTTGAGGTTTTTCTTGAAAGATGTTTTGATGAACACAAATACAAGACAAAACAGAGACTTTGATGATAACTTGGAAATGTTTGAAAACATTTCCAAGTTTTGCAATCTATGAAAAAATACTGGAACTTATGTGCTTGAGCATAAGTTTTCTTAGAAATATACTTCAGATCTGAGAAAAGGAATTTTCTGTTAAGGAACCATATTGATTTTAGTTAGACTCTTGTCCACACAGAAGGCCATGGATCTGGACAAATAAGTCAAGAAGTTAGTATTACAAGTACAGAACAAAAGAGTAGCATCAACACAGCAAGACATAATCCAACATGAAGACGGTAACTGAGGGGATGATGAATAAAGAGATTAGACTAAATGTGAATTTAAGTAATCTGGATTTCAGTATTGCAGAGCTAAGATTCCCTAAAAACCACAAAGTGCTCATCACCAGTTAAACAAAAAATTCAGTTTTTACTACACCACATTTTATTTAATTCTTTCTAATCTCCCCTCATCCAAAAAATACAGAAATCATCCTGGTCTTTGAAGAAATTACAGTGAATACTATTTAACATATTAGAAAAGAAGAAACGTTCATGGCTGTGAATTTCCACTGAAAAGAAAGGTGACCATTAATACAGAAGTGACATTAGGCACAGACTGTATGTGATGCCTTCCTTTATCACTAAATTCTTTTATTCTGATGCAAATAATGTTAGATATTGCAGCCTGGTGATTTTACTGATGCTAACAATTTTTGAAGTATACCCCTCATCAGATCAATTAAATATCTTTTACCTATGCTGCTCTTCCAACCCACTACTACACAGAGCTTAGCTAAGTCAACTATAACAAAAAAATTAAACCTTTGTGCTAAGTTGGTGTGTGATCAAAGACATTCCATGTGCCTGGAACAACTACAAGGAACACGGGTGAAACAAGTCAAGATTTGCATGTTAGATCTAAGTAAGATCCTCCACACTAGAAGTTGCTGATCTGCTGTTGAAAACCAAAACTGATTTCTGCCAAATTGTGGGCTAATACAGGTCACCTCACATTATGCAATGAAGTTATACAACAGAAGAAATTGTTGACTGAGGTAAAGGAGACACAGTATTTAGGGTGAGAAATTTTTAGACAAGACTGAAGAGGACTAGCACTCAGCTAGACTGCAACGTCACACTGGGAGGATATTAAATGAAAATTTCAATCAAAGGAACAGTATCTCACTACATGAGATACAAGGCTACAGAGATACACGTATTTAAGCTTGCCTTTTTTTTATTTTTTACTCTGTGTGTATCTGAATACCATCTAATCATTGCCACGAAGAAATGGTAAATGGTTAGAATTCAGAGTGAAGGTCTATCTCCATCACGAGGTTGCAAAAATAACAAAAGACTAATCTGTTCTAGGTTATTTCTCCCTGGAAACAGACCAGGATGCTTGGCAGTAGTAGGCCAATCTAAGGAAATTTTGGAATAGTTTCAAAATGAGGTCAGGATTGGAGATAATGACAGTGATCTTTGCCAAATCCCTCTAAGCAACTATTGATAGTGGCCTTGTTACAGAAATATACAAACAAATCCTATTTTTAACAGGGAAGGATGGAGAAAGTTGAAAGAGATTCCAAGGTCAAAAGTGTGTGATCTTGTTTTGAAAGACTACGTCAAGACTCATTACACAACATAACACAGGACAGTTATCCAGCTTGACAATTAAACTGGATTAAAGAGTTCAGATGGAAATTTTTCTTCAAATCATATGTATTCCAGTCTACATAATTTGTCCACATTTGTGTTCATATATGGAAGAATTCTTTTTTAAAAAGGTACCAGCACATGAAGTAAAAACAGTAGCAAAGTTATCAGTGTTGCTTTCTCACAACAGATGTCCAATTACAACTCAGATGTATTAAAGTTTCTGCTGTTTCTCTTTATAGAATAGAATAGCTTTATTTTTAAAAAGAAAAGCATTTTTAAAGACATTTCCAGTAAGTTGGTGATTCAACTGTGGCAAGGATACTATAAACTCAACTCACTTTTTCCACATATTCAAAAACTAAGTATAATTTTCCTCTTCTTCTGAAGGCTTCCTTCAGCTCCACTATGTTCTCCTGTTTCAAAGTGCGAAGCATTTTAAGCTCTCGTAAAGTGGTTTCTTTGACTTCTTCATTTTCTGGAGTGCAAAGTAAAAGTGATAGAATAAGCTTATTAAAAAACAAATGAATTTTAAGACCAAAGCACAGATTTGTAAGTCCTGTTAAGTTCCCCACAAGGTTTTCGAAGGAAATTCAGCAATGTCAGCCCAGTGTAGCAGCTACAGAAGGCAGCAGAGTAAGTATTGATGCAATGAAGCTTTGAATCTAATTCAGAGAAGTCCAGAAATTTAACTGTTTCGACAATTTAATTTAAATGACTTGACAATTTAATTGTCTGAAAGGTGTTCAAGAACGGAATGTTTTACTAATGCTCCATACACTGCTTATCATTATAGGGCCCTGAACTAACTGGGTTCTAAAGGATGCTGCTAATGAAATGTGAAGTAAACTAAACTACATTAGGTTTTATTTTTCATTTAGTAAAGTGAAATCCATTAATTCAGTACATTTGCTCATGCACATTTAGAAATAAGGTTCTTAGCCTCTTAGAACTGTTATCCACAAAATGAGATGTGCTTGCATTAATTCAAAGTTAAATCACATCTGTAGGTCATGTACCACAAACACAGTCAGAGGAATTAAAAACAAGGATGAGAACTTGTTTTTCCAGGGAAAAGACAAAAGCAGGTTTGTAGGGGAGAGAGAATAACACAGATCATGCAAATGCAATAATCATCAACAGAAGAGAGAGGGGAAAAAATAAAAAATTAAAGTGCAGCAGGAGGGAAGAGGAAAACAAAATACTATAATCACAAATGTTTTGATTAAAAATATATAATTTAGAGCAATCTAAATCTTTTCATTTTAAAACTGAGTGCTTGATGTTGGTTTGCATCAGCCTGATTACATAATCTCATCTATTGCGAGACAGACTCTTTTGAGCACATTTAGCATTCAAATGTCAAAAAACAGCAAAGATTCAGTGAAACAAAAGTGTCAATAGAAACAATTACAGTATATTCAAATTTCTAATGAACTACCATATTAACAAGACAGATGTGAAATGGGCTGAATCTAATCCATCAAAAGAACTTCTGTCATATTTCCAGAAACTCATAAACAACTAGCTACAACTCTGAAAAGCAGTCATCAGTCATGTAAACTGATATTATGCAATACTCTTGGAAAGCCAGACCTAATGGCAATGTTGTATTTTTTTTTTTCATTTTTTGGTAGACAGGCTAATACAATAATCTTGTTTGGGGCTCAATTAAAACTGAGATTTATTGCCTATGATCTGTATTGAATAGCCACAGCAAGTTCCAAAGAGAAATTCTGAAGTACTCTCATGACTTGGTCAAGATGGTCACCACAATTAAACTGTCGCCTGCATCCTTTAACAGGGCTTTAGAACAGATTTCTGAATAGAAGAGCTAAAACATTAATCAAATATGCTCTTCAAGTGTCTGGGAAAATGACCTGCAAAGCAGAAGTTTGCTTTGAGCAAAACAAGAGGCAAATCAGACTTTGCTGCGACTCTGAAAATTACAGGTCTTGTAACCAACACCACCTCCATGGCCACCACTAATCCTAAAACAATAACAGAAAATAAAAGTTTGCTAAAACAAAGTGGCTGCTGCTTCTTGAAACAACATTCTTAGCTTTCAGCTAAAGCCTCAGTACACGGCAAACCACAGCTTCATTGCATCAGACCAGGCTGACTCCTCTTATTACTTCATACTTGTATTCTCCTTCTGTTTGTGTCAGGCCATTAGGGATCGGGGCTAACTTCTCACGTACACAAGGCAGGCAATTGCTCTCATGGTTGGTTGCAAGTTTTTCCTTTGATAGAATATGGTGATTGACTGTTCCCCGAAAAGTGCAGGTCAGAGAGACAGCCTTGTCTTGTTCAGTTCTTTGGAGGTATTACTGGGTGAGGAATGGGTGTGTGCAGCATTCAGAATAATTTCCATGTGTCCTGCCTTCTGCCACCCCCTTTTCCAGCAACAGGAAGCCTTGCAGAAGTTGGCTCTTCCTCCTCTCAGCAACACTGCAGAGTACACAGGCTGCTGTGAGGGGTCAAAGAGCAAGCTTCCTGAGGAGAGTGGAGCCTGCTGAAGTGAGGACAGAGCTGCTGCCTCACCACCCAGCTTCCTCCATGGACCCCTGGGAGCTCCTGGATTTGTCCTCCTCACATGACTGAACTTCTCAGTGACTTCTCTCAGTCTCCCCCATTTACCACTTCAAATTGCCCTCACATCTAGATCCCCTCTCACAGATGAAGGATGATAAAGCCCAAAGACTGTGCAAGATACTACTACAAGAAGAGTTTTTTACATTTTCTGGTCACATCCAGTCTCTAAATGGTAACTCTTACTCCTGCATATGACACCACAATCTCAGCCATATTAAGATAGATGCATCAAGAAAGAAACATGGTTATCTAGTCAGTGTATAATGCAGTCCCTAGGCAGGTATGAAGGATCAAGTGTCTTGAATATTCACAGAGCTAATAAATCATTATAATTTTTAAATCATATCTTGATACATGAGACTTCTTATTTCAACTGAAGAGGTATCAACAATGTAGTTCTTGACAGAAAAGAGTACGCAGCAGAAAAAGTTACCTTCACTGTCTTTGAATTTCTTGATAGCCACAATTTCATGTGTCTCCTGTAAAACAAAAGCAAAGAAAGGGAAATGAGCAAGATCTGCTGTTTATTTCCTCGGGCCTTTTTTAATTTCTCCTGAGCATCAGAGAAAGAAAAAAAGAAGCATCCTGAGAAATTTCACACTGCAAAAAAGTTAATTAAAAATCTGATAAACACCTCAGTGATCGGGCCAAATGCAATACACACCCACATGCAACAGAAATATCATAATTAGGAACCCCAGTACAAAAGCAACAGAGTTAAATGCCAAAAGTTCATATTTAAATACTGTTTAACAGATATCAATTACATTTTCTGAAGAAAAAATGAATCTTGTTTCTTAGTTATTCTGATTTTCTAACAATCAGAATCTGGCCAAAGTATGAATGTGAGTGCTTATCTTTATGAGGTGAAACGAAAATACTGTGCTATTATGTGGCTAAGGCTTATAATAAGACCAGTAATTTTGGCTGCCAAAAGTTTTTGGGCTTCAAAGATCAAATAGCCACAAAAAACATGATATAAGGAAAGTAGCTTCTCTGTGCCTCCTTATAAAAATTTGTCACCTTAAGGGAAGCTCATCCAAACCCAGGACCAGTCATTGCATTTGGCAGTGTTCACCTCTGCTTACGATAAGTGGTAACTTCTTAATGTCCACCTGCCTTTGCATTCCCCTGGCGGCCTCTACTCACCAAACCTGGTTATCATAGGCCACATTTTTCTCTTCAATGAAGCCATTTCTCTCTTGTTGTGTGAGCAGGAATGCTTTTAGCACATGGCCAAAATGCAGCCAACACAACACGACTAGTGCAGGTCTGATCGTACAATGATGCAGCAACTGAATTTTAGTAACAGGGTGCACAGAGTAAAGGCATGGGAGCAGAGAGGCAGGAGGCCACCTGGGTTACTACATCTAGTTCACACATCCTTTTTTGTTTACCAAACATTACGGTTTTAAAAAAAACCCACGACAATATCCCACTATTTACAGCATGCAAAGACTGGATCAGAGAACAGCAAGGAAAAGAGAAGCCCTCCTGGAATACTTGAAGACACGTCCAGTTACAGAGTAACACAAAGATTTACTCCACTTTTCATTTCAAACCATGGCAACACATGAACCTGCAAAATACCTGACCCTGCAAAAACTCATGTAGATAGTGAACAATGTCTTTTAAGGCCTTTAACTGAAAATCAGTACTACTATGACTAAGACTAAAAATGAATTTGCAGTCAAATATAAGAATGAATGTCTATGTGTATGTGTATAATTGGCATGTTTAAAAAAATAATCCTTTGACCATCAGTCATACCACCTATCTGAAAAACTTGCAAGCATTATATTGTGTAGTGATTTAAGTGACCAAACTGTATCTACCTTGCATTGAAGAAAGTTAGTTCAGCAGAAGCATCACATGCTACTAACTGTTGGAGAGGACTTGCATTGCTTTTCTGCTTCTGAAACCTACCCTTCACACACACTGGTCTAACGTGAAGGCTGACAAATGCATTGCATAAATTCAGCTGAGGTCCAAGCACTACCTTTTGCTCAACCAGTTTACAGAACAGCAAAGACAGGGATGTCAGAAATGAGGAGATATTACACATTTCAGGTTCAGAGTGATTCTGAAAGTCTTGTCTTTAGCTTTTGTGTCAAATACAGTTTCGTAACAATTTTGTTTCAGGAAACTTACAAACTAAACAAACTATTTTACTAATTATATTTTTACTATCACATTATAGTATTGTTATATTTATTAACTCCAACACTAGTAACAGTAGTAACAGTTACTAGGACTATAAAGGAACATTAAGAGGTTGAGTAAATTTAGCTTATTTGAGTTCTGATATCTACTGGTAGCTGCTCTGGCTAATTAGGCCTTTGAAGGATTTTTCAGAAAAGGAACACTGTAATTGCCCTCAAAAGCCTCTGCTGACTGTAAATGCCTCTGTTTAGACAGCATGCATAAACCACTTTGCAGAAAAGTCAAATTTCTCCATTAGTATTAACATGCCTATTTCACATGAAGTAAGAGAAAAAATTGTAGATGTTTCAGCTACCATCAAAAGGCTGTGTTTTCATTCTTAAAGTAATAGCTGTGTATGCTGAAAAAAATGTAGGAGTTGAAAAACGTATCCTCACACAGACATCATTCAAGAAAACTAGTCCAGTGGCTTTTCTGCCATATCCTGATGTGTGCAGTGAATGTGATTATTTTGGAAATTAACTTTTAAAAGCTCTTGGGTCAAGGTCTTGCAAAGGCTTATGTAAGATATGCTATCAAACATCCTGCAGGATTTTGACTATTTACAGTACTGAAAGCATGAGTGGCTCCAGGAATAATAGGAACAGAAAGACCTCAGCAACACACATATGGATGAAAAAGTTATTCAAACAATTAAGAAAAAAAATCCAACACTTAAGAAATTTTCATTTGAAAAGCATTATCACTTATATTATTTCAATAAATGTATTAATGATGTCATAATTAAGCAATTAAAAATTTTTATATGACATATTTCCTATCTTCAAAAAAACCCCTTCAACATATATTATTTAAAAAACCTGAAGTGAAACAACACTGAAATGAGACATCCTAGGAAGGAACATTCTTGTCTAGGTTTCTTGTAGGATCTCATCCTATCTAAAAGGTATTCCCTAAGAATCTTGCCACTGGTGAAGCAGTCAAGATGAAGTTAAAATGGATACAAAGAAAGTGAAGATTTATGCATAGATGTTTAAATACGATGAACCTGCTTGTCCAAAAGTCTGTAACTTCCCTATGATGCAGAACACCTCCAAAACAGTAGGGGTGCTCCATCAGACAGAAGAGAAAACTGAAGCCAAGTGCACGTTTCTCAGTTCTTGGTCCCACGCTCTAAACCAACTAAATAGTTTATATGAGGTGACATATGAGCTTATCACAATTTTAAACTATTTTCAAAAGGAAGAATCCATCTGAAATGGATTCTGTTCCTCTCCTTGCCACTACTCCTACTGATTTTGAACTACATGTCTAGTTTCCATCAAATTTTACAGAGAAATGCAAGTTTTAGAAAGAGGAAACTTCAAAAAATAGTCTCAAATTTGTCAGTCATATATAGAATATCCTTCCTTGGGGGAAGGAAGCAGCAAGAACTCTGTCTCCTGTACAATGCATGACGTTGCAGATCCGCAGCATTTGTAGACTGTGCAATGCCCCTGTACATAATTTTCACTCAGATGAATTAATACAGAGTAAGACTCAAAAACATTCAACATTTTACATATGGACCAATGCAGCAGGTGTATAGTAGAGGTGGTAAAAACATGCTTCCTGGATTAGGAGACAGATGCTAAAGCTGGTCCAGTGCTGGCAAAACAAGTACTGACACGCACTTGGTGAGAAGCAAACAGACAACAACACATTGCTAAGCCCTGAGAAGATAGACAGAATTGGGGATACAAGGAAAAGCAGAGCTTTGAGCAATGAGGGAATTCAACAATGATAATTCAGACTCCTTGGGAAATCTGAAAGGTTCTTTACGGATCAAATTAGGTTTTGTTACTTAAACCTTTACTTAAAAGTCCTTTTGGAGATCTGAAGTCTTTTGTGGATCTGGTGTTCTGCTCTTCAAAAACAGGTCAAATTGGAATTCTCCAAAGCAGAATTGCCATTCACTAAAATATATTTTATGCATTTTGAAGGGTTTTTTTCAAGACTCTACTATGAAACAGAACAGAACTGAACACCATGTTCAACCTGATTCTGGAAACCCTCCTCAGACAATAGCTCAGTATTCAACTCTTAGCATGGAAAATTATCATATCCAATTAAATGTAGGCAGATAAGGCTGTTACTAGTTGATTCAAAGTCTGAGACTTCAATGAATGTCAAAGAAAGAAAAAATGTAACCCTTTCTGATCTCTACAACCACCTGATAACATGAAGTATGAAAATCTGAGTTCTCTTACCTGTAGTTCTTCTTCACTCAGCTACATTTATTACTAAGTATCTCATTATCATGCTCTAATAAAAAATTCTGGTCTCACTATTTCATTTTACATTCTGAGGCAACAGCAAATTTGCAAATACACAAGTCAAATCCCTCTTGGCTTTGGCATTACATCTGATTATCAAGCACATATAACATTCTATGTTACAAAACTACAGGAAAAAAACTGTTTTACAATTAAGTATGCAACAACACATGAATATTATTGAAAACACTTTGTGTAAAATTTAAGAACCTACAGAAACTGATTAATCAGACTACATGATTCCATTTGTCTAAAACAGGGCAAAATATGGCTCTTCTTCATGTAAAAAACTGCTAATATCTTTCAATAAGGCTAAGATAAAAACTTCTGTTCTATTTGCTTTACATAAAAATATAGTGACAGAGAGGAGGAAGGAGATACTTGCTGATGGCAAAATGGTATCTTCAGTCCTGGAGATGGGAATCACTTCATGCTAGGGTTCAGTCCTTTCCTTTACCTCAAAATATGTGTGGGAATTGCCTCTGGAGAAAACATGCTTTACTGCCTGCCCACTTAGCCACAGATGAGAGGCGAGTATGGCTATGGGAGCTGAGCAGTTCTCACTGCTCCTGGGCTTCCTCACAAGATTGTAACAGCTGGTGTTTCTTGTTACCAATATCAAACTAGAGGAGTTCCTACTTCAAAATCATTTAATTTTATCCGTTTAAAGGATAAAGGTCCCCTATTTTTCCATTGTCTCTACAAAATTTATATGTAATTACATATTGCACAAGACACAAGTGATTTCCAGAACAGCAGAGGAATGTATCTCTGTTGTTTTCTAGAAAGATCCTTCATGTTAATGATGGGAGTACTCAAGGACAAAGATGCTGCTCAGTATAAACCAAGATCTTATAAATACAACCAGTCTCCCTTAGAAAGAGAAAACATACTCTATTCTTGAAAATAGCATGTTACAAAGAAGAATCTCTTAAAATATTTGTCCCTATTTTGTTTCAAGAATTTCTGTTAGGACTTTCTTCCTTTTTCTTTTACATATC